CCAGAAAGCTATGCAGCAAAATTCCATTATTGATATTAGCTCTTATTTGAATATTTGCCTTATGCAAATAAATCCTTTTACAGCCTCAGATTTTTTCTAATGCTCTTCAGGATTATTTCTCCTGTGTTATAAAAATTCTCCTGGGAAAGTTTTGTGTTGCAGATCACTAAGAGAATGCCTTTCCATCCAAAATGTCCACCCATGGAGTTAAAATTGCATTTTGTGTTTAATGTGAGTGATAAGGCTTTATGTACAGGTATGAGGAGAAAAAACAAACCAAAAACCCAACAAAACCCAAAAAAAGGACATGTACAATCTAAGAAAGAACAAAGAGAATTAATCTAGCTCTAGAAGTCTAAATCAACTTAAACAAACAAAAATACAATCATAAGCTAGAAAGCTCATTAAGATAAGTAAGAATAAAATTAACATTTTTAAGAGTGCTAATTAACCACTGGAACAATTTATGTTGACACTTTTCATCATTTGCATACTTCAGATCTACACAGAGCTTCTTTCCAGCAAAGAACACCACCGTCCACACAGTGAACAGTGTTGAACGTTGTGTTCAATATGGGAATTGTTGGATGAGAGATTATGATCTTTGTATCCATATAGGCAGACCAAATATTTCAGTAGCCTGGTCTGACCCTGAAGTCTGGGAATTTCCAGCACAGAAGGGCTATATGCAGTTGAAGCAGCAATAAATGGCACATGTGGTTAGGTGCCTGAGGACAAGAGCAAATTCCAGTTCAGGGAATCAGAAACACTTGCTCTGGCCCAGGTACCTGCAGAAGGCCATTTAGGAGGGCACACTGTGCCAGACACAGGCCTGCTCTCACAGGGCTGTGCTCATGAGCTGCCCATTTGATGGCCTGAGCTTTTTCTTTCTTCTATTGCAAACAAAAAAGAGAAACTGTAGGTACATACACACTTGTACATGATTTTTAAAAAGTGTTTTGGTTCTTTATGCAATACCAACTCTTAAGGAGAAGCCAGCAATTCCCAGTGCACAAAAAGGCAGGTCTCTGGAGTGTTTGCTGCCTAGAGCAGGTATTTAACTGGCAAGTTTGTTTCAAGTTGGTTGAACCAATTAAAAAAATTCTGCAGTTTTAATAAACTGATATCCCACTGCTCACCCTAGAACATCCCTTTTGAGAGGAAGCACTTTACATCGTCCTCATATGTTGTTTTATGTTGGTGCCCCTAGCTACCATGAAGCATGGAGAGCTAAAATGAAAATGCTAAAGTGCTTCCAGCATGAAGCTGCTCTTTTGTGTAATTATGCCTGCTGCTAATAAGCCTTCCATTACAGCCATGGCACAGGTTTTGCTAATCCATTACAAATGATTGGTTGGAATTTAAAACACTGCTGCAAGCGTACCACTTTTCACACTGAGCTCACATTGTCAGATTTCAAACACTTTCCCCCTCCATAAGTGACAAGGTTGGGCCATGCAACAACAGCTTTTACCTAAGGGAAGTGTTGAACTTATCACTTGAACCCTCCCTTGGGATTCACCTGAAAAGTATTTAACTGAAAATAAAGAGACTGGCTCTGACCATTTCTGGTGTCAGTGTGAACTCCAAACTCAGACATCAGGTTCTAAAAATGGGCTTTGCTGCATAAATCCTGCCACTGATCAGCATTGCCTGTGGTGTGACAGCCTGCCTGAACAGGTGAACTCATAGGTAATTCATGTTGAAATTTCTGACAAATCTCCTGTTCTAAAAACTCTAAAAGAAACCTTCATAAAAACTAAGAACATATCCAGTACCTTGAATTGTACTCCAAGATGCCTGATTTGTTCTTATGTATTAGACATAACATTTATATTTTTGAAGTGCCACTCTATTTAAACCTTGACCAGTCACAGAGCTGTTACCCATAGAGCACTCACTTCCAAAGCTGCATTCAAACATACACTGCACTTAGTTAGCTGACAGCCTGCAAGCCTAAAGAGAGGGGAGATTTCAGGAGTTCTCAGATAATTCTGGAATTTTTTAAAGCCAAATAAGCATTAAGTAAACAGGTGTACAATACTGCAGGTGTCCACATGTGAGCCACAGTCTGCATGTCTGTTGATGTCAGTGGAGCTTAGACAGCCAAGCACCTCCCCTAACAGAGGACATGTTCCCACCAGCCCATGGAAACACACCTTTGCACCCCTGGCTGTAAGGAGCTGATGTGCATTCAGTTTATGTGCATTCAGTTTATTCAGATGTTTGCTCATACATCTCTGCTGCCCTCTCAACAGTACCACAGCATCCTGCACAACCTGCCCTGGCAGCTGCAGGAGTATCTCCCAGGCTTGCACCATAACCAGCCCAGCCCTGGGAAGCTGTCCCAGACAATACCCCCCACAAGCAGCACCCTGCACCTGGGAATACTGAACAGAGCACACAGCCCTAAATGTACTCAGAGTTTAGCAGCAGTGCTGAGTTCCAGCTTTCCTGTACACCCATGCATTTGAAGGCTGTAACTTCAAACAGCAATTCTGCAGCTGATGAACTGAAGGAGAGCAATTGGTTCTTCTTCCTTGAACATTATCTTAAAAAATAATCCAACAAAATACAGCAAAAACCTCCACTAGAAATCATCTGGCTAATTTTTCTCCACTGGAATTGTTCTCTTTACCACTATCCCTACCTTGTAATGCTTTAAGAAGCAGCTAATTAATGAAATAAGGAAAAGAAAGCAAACAAAAAGAAGCCAAGAGGATGTCTCAGATTCAGTTGTACATCACATTTCCATGATGCCAGGTGGGGAGAAAAGGCCAAGATTAAGACAAAGTTCTCTTACACCATAACTTTAGCATCAGTTAGCAAAACCTTATATACAAGATTACAATCATGGAAAGGGCTTTTTAATGTGCAAGGTGCACTTCCACACTGCCATCTTGTGTCAATAACCAGGTTTGCTGAACTTGAGAACCAAACATATTCCAAGTACTTCAGCAAGGATCAAAACAGGCAAATAACATTCATTAGGTGGGTTCCTCTGCCTGTTCCCCTCCAGGGGAAGGAGGGGACAAAGGAATTTTTGTTACTCACATTTGCCAATGTGAATTAACAAATGCAGATTTGAAGGAGCCTTGTTTAAACCAGGATTTTATCATGGGTGGAAACTCAGCTTCAACTCTTCAAGAGTTTCAATTTCAGCTCTTTGAGGCCCACTAAATTTGAAATCCCACTCATTTGTGCACAAGCAAGCTAATGAAATAGCCCAGCCTTTTTGCAGACATTTTGTGGGAAAATGAAACTGGAACCCGCATGGAAGTACTTGACACCATGCAGGAGAAGCCAGCCAGGCTCAGAGCATACCACTGCAGGCTGTGGGACATGAGTCAGGCAGCATTGCAGACCACAGGCTGCTAAATTTTCTTTCTTTCCATTTTTCACCACCAGCCAATTTCCATGCACAAATAATTCCCATGAACAGGGAAACATAACAAGATGCAAAAAACAAGCATCACAATCCCTAAAAGATGCAAAAGACAGCATCACCATCCCTAAATTTTCTCACAATTTTGCTGCACAACACAGTCCTGGGAGAGGGGGAGTCATGGACAGGCTAAGATCAATTTGTTGATTAGAGGCTGAGAAACTTTGACTTGTGACCAAAAAAATAAAGTGTCTTTCAGTGTATTTCAGGGCTGGTAGTGGAGACTGTAGATCTCTGGAATTTGGGGGCCAGGAGGACAGTGGCTCTTTGGTTCATTATTGTAGATGCTGTCTACAATAAATGAAGTCTGAAAACTACCATGTAGAGGGCCATATTCACCAAGGTATGTGCCCTTAAGAGAAAACCAGATCTGTACAGTACCTATATCAGATACTGAATAGCTTTCAGGGAAGCAAGCTTCTTCCACCAGCAGCAGAGAGGACTCCAGAGAGCTGTGTGAGCAGGCAGTGTGACTGTAGTCTGTACTTGATGAGCAGGGGCTTCACACTGCAGTGCTGTCATCTGTGTTCTATCATGTCATTCCTTACCACAACAGTAAAAACCAAATTAAATACTTTACCAGTCTTTAACTGAATACCAAAAACTAGAGTCAAGTTTGGCAGATGATACATTTTAGATTTTTATGATAATTTTTTAAGGCAAAAAGTAAAACTAATGTTTGGCACTTTGTAATTCGGCAAGCAGCATTCGGTTACAAGCAGGAGAAATTAGAGGAGCACAGGTGAAGTTCTCCCACTATGCCAAAACAGCACAATCTTCCCCCCTTGTTGCCCCCAGCTATCACAGCCACAACCTCTCTTCCCAATCTGTGAGCTCTCCTACACACCACACCCCCAAAATCCCCTGAGAGCAAGGAGCACCCTAAGCTGCTTTGCAGCCTCATTGCAGCTCTTCATGGTGCCCTATACAAGCTCACACTCAAGAGCTCTCCTACACCTGCCAGCTTCCTCTTCCTCAGTTTTACCCACAAAATGCTCCCCCAAATTCCTCTGATCTACTCCTGTTGCGGTGTGATGTATAAATTCCAATATACTTCCTATGTTTTTTCACTGCCTCCAAGGATATGGACACAGGAGGGTACGTAACCAGGCATGAAAGGATTTGGGGATGCCACTGACCAGAACATTTGAAAGTCACCACTGAGACATAGAGCACATTCCAGCTGTGTTTTCAAGAGGAGCAGAACCTAACCCAAAAATATTTTTGGCACTTTATTTCTAGCAATAGCAGAGAAATTTTGAGGAACATCCACGTCTTTCAATTTTTTTCAGGGATGGGCATATAGTCTCACCACTGGTACTGAATACTCAAGGGAAAGAGCATGAGGAGCTTGATGAAAAAGTTGTACACAGACTTTGACATTAACTACAAAGGAAGAGAGAAAAGAAAGAACTATTGTTCTTGCATATATTTATGTGAACAACTTAATCCTGTCAGAACAAATATTTTTCCCAAGATGAAAATCAAACAATTTTATATTTCCACACACTACCTAAGACATGTTTAGCTGAACAGAAAGGACAAAAACTTCTAATAAATGCAACATCCGATTTTTTATTTACAAATATATGGTAATTCAACAACCATTCTCCACTCAGTTTGCAGAAGAAAGAGTGATAGTTACATTTCCAAACAGGAAAAGAAAACTCTCTCTCTTAAATGGATTCCACAGAATATTATGCCAACACCACTGAGCAAATTCTGAGATTATTCTTTGTATTTAGGTTTCAAAAAAGCACATAATTTTAGAAACCAGCATATGGAAAGCAAACACATTTGTGTGCATTTAAATGCAGCTCCATATTAACCTAGAGAATTCACTTTCAGTATATGTCAAAAATAAAGACAGCAATTGCAAATATATATTTATATTAGCTATTTCTCTAATGCTCATTTCAAGAGCTTAGAAACAAAATACCCTCTTCATATACCATTGGAAAGTCAACTAGTTGATTATAAGCCTCAAAAATATTTGTAAGTTATTACTGAAAATATACTTATTCTCTCTTGTGCTCTCGGTACTTGAAGCTGAAAATGTGAAAGCATTTTTCCCAGCTATTTCCTTACTGCAATTACTTTCTTATAAATAAAAATAGTTACATGAAGAATACAAGGTATTGCTATGAAGACTAGACAAGCAAGAGTTACTCTTAGAAAAAAACCACACATACACACAATATATATATTTATAGATCTACATCAGCAGCAATCACCTCTTCTTGTATCTGCAACAGTGGTTTCATATCTTCATTTGCTTCACATGCAGGTTGGTTGTCCAGCTGTTAGGGAGAGACAAAAGAAACTGTAAGCAAAGTCTAGTTACTGAAAAACTTTTGTGTCAACAATTAACATTTTAAAGTTTAAAACAGTCACTTAATAGTCAAAAAACATTTTAAAGTTTCAAAGACTTATTGAAAATGGTAACATAGTAATGTATACATTTGGAATCAAGCAATCCAAATTTAATGAACAATACAAATTTGAGTTGAATCCAATTATAGCACTGCAAGTATTTCAGGCCAAGTCATATTCCACAGAACATGCACTTTACCAAATTATCAAGAATTATTTTTAACTTACTTAATTTATTTTTAGTATTAGCACAGAGACAGAGTGATAGTTTCTCTAAATTTACCTTTCAATAATGCAACTAAAATTTGTTAAATTACTGTAACAATATAAAGAACTTTTTTATCCTCTCTGCATACCTTTGTAGGTACTTGCCAACACAGTAGAACGTTCCAAGTTTAAACCACAGGATTAACACAAAAATGTGCAAAAATATCACATAACATTACATAAAATTGCAAAGTGAGTATTAATAACCCTTGGTTTATCAAACCTTTTAGCCAACATGCTCACATTCCAAACTAACAAATAATTAGCCAGGTTGATATCAAATGCCAACTGCAAAAAACAGGAATTCACATCACAGGGCAGTGCTGTGCTGCCAATACATTTGCACTGCAGTAATTGCATAGCTGGGTTTTGTATTATTCAAACAGCTGATTTCAATGACTAATCACTAATTTGAATACTGTGTTCTTTACCTATAAGTTCTTACAACTCCTGATTTTACTTGTATCTCATAGAATTATGTTTTGAGGTGCCCACTGGCCCAGGTAGATGCAGTCTGAAGGGAAGGGAATACAAACATTTCCTCACAGATCAGCTCTGCTTCTGAAAGGCACTGCTGTGATGTAATGTCAAAGAGAGAATAAATAGCAATTCATCCATAATAAAATCACTTATCCAACTCATCCAGCAATATTTTCCCCCAAAAGAAACGACAGATTAAAAAATAATGTGAGCACACTCCACAGTGAGTCTCTCACACATCTGGGTGCTTCAAATAGGAACACAGTCAGTTCAGTGTAGTCTTGTCATCAACAAGGAGATACATTCTCCAAACTTTAAATTAGACATGGTATGACCCAGTGCCCTGGATCACCTCGAGATGGAAGGGAGTGATTCTCTTCCTCCTTCCACTGATCACATCAGCCTCTGTGAATGCGCTACTACCCTCACAAGGTGTTGCGCTTTCTGGTTTTAGCTCGGGTACCACATCATCATTTCTGTGACTTCCCTTCATGGAAGTCAAAAAGAGCCTCCAAACAGCAATGGCATCAGATGCAGAGCTTCTCTTTTCCTGAGCTAGGTTCCACAGCCAGCAGCTGCCCAGTTGCTGCTCAAACACTGTAGCATGAATATCCTGTTCCCTTCACTGCCTTCCAATCCACCATGAGAAAAATGTGCTGGGCTCAAAGAAACACGGACATTTTTCCAGGAAGTAATTCAGAAAATATTTCCCTCCCCTGATTTTTATCATTCTATAGAATTCCACATTTGCTAGATTAAAAAGAGCCATATAAAACTCCTGACACTTATCAAAATTAGGAAGTTGTCTACCATCATCTATGACAGCAGAAAAGAAGACCTAAAAACCACTACACAAAGCCTTAACATCATGCTCCAGTAAATCAGAATTCTGCAAACCATAAGAAGGAAAAAAATTATACTGCACCTTTTAATTAAGATCTGTAAGTAAATCAATTCCTCCTGAACTTGTACCTAAACGAATAACCAATTACAGACCTATAATTCCAATAATAATAGCATCACAAAAAGAAACCAGCATTTGTGCCACCTGCACAAGATAAACTAATTGCTTTCCAGATATGTATTAGAACTGAATTAAATACATATTTCAGCTCACTTTTTAAGAAAATGTAGACACTTTTTCAAAAGGCTTCTCTGTTATCAAGACAAGCCTGTTTAGCACCTGACAGCTCCTTGACACCACTTTCTTAGATCTATAAAGGAAGGAAGATGACTGTACCATGCTGTCTGCTTGAAACTGCGTAATAGCAACTTGGTAAAATCAGCTACCAGTGAGTTAGAAATTAGGAATGACTACCCTACAAAAGACAGAAACTGGCAATCAAACCTTGCTGAACCTATTTGCTAATTTAAAGCTAAACATGAAAGCTATCAAGTGGCTCAGCTGTGCAAACACTTGAGGCTGTACAGCACAGAGAAGAGCTACAGTCATGCACACTGCAGTTGGATTGCCTTACTTTTAAATCTGATATAGCAGTCGTTGCAGAAGAGTTTGTTGTTTCGGATCCTGACTTCAGCTCCAGAGCGGGATCCACCAAGGTCGCATCCACAGGCAACACACTGTATCAAACAGGAATAATTAGCAACTCCTTCCAAAATACTAAGAAACAAAAATGCTGTTCAAAAGCAGCTGAGATTAAGCTCAACAAAGCCTGAACCATAACCCCACAATCACTAGAAGCAAATGTACAATGATTAGTAGATCAAAATGCAACCAACCCTGAGGAAGTATTTTAAGGCGACGACTGGACAACGAATAGCAGACCAGAAATGCTACACCAAGTAAGCAAACATAAAGCAGACGGTTTTTAGAGGTTAGGTCACTTAATCTAATTTGAACTTTGGTTTCTCTGAAAACTAAAACTGGTTTGGCACAAAGAAAAATTTGTTCTCTAGATGGCAACAGGAATTTTGGCACAGAACACCTGGGTGTGCTACTTGCAGATTTCCATGTGGCACTACATGCTGCTGGTGTCCTCAGTCCCTTGGCACTCAAAGCAGAAAATACTCAGGCACTCTCAATTTCCTGGGCTTGCATCACTGGAACAAGTTCTGATTTGGAGAGATGGGGCTGATTTAATTTCTCTTGCATAAACACATAAGGGGCTTGACCACTGCCATGCTAACATTAAACTATTTAGCTATGGTAGCCTGAACATGTACTTCTTGTGAATATGGACCACATCTGGAAGGAATGTAATCCAAAACATAATACTCCCCTTACTGAATTTATGAAGGACAGATACTTTCCCTGCTTAACCAAGTAATGAATCTTGTAAATGGCAGTCTTTTCAACAGCTCATTAATTTTCAGAAATTTGAAAACCAGAAACTTGGCATTTTGTTATGTAGGTTATGAGGTACAGGTGGATGGTCTCACACAGAATACACATCCTGCAGGAAAGGGGATGGCAACTGATCACTATGGATTAGTGCTGTCTCTCCTGCTCAGGGAGGCAGAACCAGGAAGGGCTTGGAGTCAATCCCTAGTAAGACTCCAGGTGATGCACTTGAGCTGGGCATGGAAGACAACTACACACAGAAATCTCTTTCTTGAAGTCAGGGAAGAAGCAGGGTCCAACAGCATCTCCAAGTCACAGTCTAATTCCACATCTAGTCCGAGGGCAAGGGAATGGGACTGCTTTGCTGTCTTTTGCAGGCAAATATTTATTCTTTCAGCTCTGCAAATGCTCCAGGCTGATGGGAAAGCATGTTAGTAGGTCTAGGTCTCAGTGCTGGGCATAAGCTAGTACCTTTAGTTGGTGACTAGGGCTGAGTAGCATTAAACACACCTTTTGCTTTTTTTCTGGGCTTTATCCTGCCATTTTGAACTCTTCCAACATGCCTTTAATTGGAAAACACCACATGAACACTGTCTGCTAAGGTTATCTTAGAAAGGATGGGTCATCTTAAATGATTTAATTGCCAGGGTCCAGGTTGAGATTTTTTTTTTTAGAGGAGCTGCTTTCTCGGGAAGAAGTGGTTCAGCATTTTCCGATATTTTGCCACCTATTCGAAGAAGGACATCTTCGATCTCACAGTCCATGTGCTCACCTTGCTTTTCAAACTCCTACTTGTTAGCTCTGGAATTTAAGAAACACCTCTAGAGTAGAGTGCTAAATGCCTGCAAATGGGACTGCCTCATGGAAATATGCATGCACCAGGCTGTCAAGAGTAGAAGGCAAAGCAGGTGATTAGTAAGAACCCCTGTGAGCATAACACTGAGTAGCCATGCGTGCTCCTGATTAGTTCCTGTTCCTTCACGATGTGACTCCCAGCTCTCACCTTAAAGCAATGTAAATGATAACAAAGACCAAGAGACTCAATGATCATGGCTGCTCCTTTGCCCAGAATGTTATTACAGTATGAACAGATTTTCTTCCCACTGACTGACCTAAATATAGAATGAAAAACCTTAAAACCAGCTTGAAAATGTTTAAAAGACAAAGAAGAGTTATAAAATACTTTTTGAGATTAAAAATAAAAAACACATGGGTAAAAACTGGACTATTAGGCTGCTTGGAGAAAGTATACTGAAAATTAATATTATTTAGAGTAGATCTGAAAGACATGGAAAGCTGAAGTGTTATAATTTACATCAAATTTAAATAGGAGCAAGTTAAGAAATTCTGTGACATTCTTGGCACATATCTCATTGTATAAAATAGCTTTTACAAATAAAAAGTGTACTGTAAAGTTCGGAGAGTAAGAACAAAGGTTTTGTGCTCCTGCCCTCTTAGTTGTGGGGAACTATGCAGAAGGCTAAGTTTTAGCAAGCACCCCTTCCAAGTCCCACCATCTGCACTTTGTTAGATAAAAGAAGGCTAGCCCTAGACATAAAATATTATGTTAACTCTTTGAACATAAACCATATGAAGGTCAGTTTCCATAGATCTACCAAAGTGTTAGCAAATGGAAGTGAGAACAAATTAGCAAATATGGTTAAGAAGGTAATTTTCTTACATCATAAAGGATATAAAAGATTAGCTTAAAAAAAAAATACAGTCAATTTATCAAAAATGCCTGAGAGTGTAAGCGCTAGTGAATAGTGTTCACTGATGTTATTTATAACACATGTAATTCTGTGTGGGATGATTCTCTGGAGTACTATCCCAAGGTATTTTTAAAATGCTTTAAGTACATAAAACAGCAAAGTTATCTATCCTACCACAGTTGAATTCCATTTTTGTTTCAAAATATGTTGCAATTCTTGCTTTCTCCTCCTAGATTAAAATCAACATCCTACTCTGTAATTCTTCAGGGTCACGGGTTATGAGCATTCCTGAGTGCTCCTCAAGATGATATTGACCACATGCCAGGAAGTGAGGAGGAGAGACCAAGATGAGGGTCATAAAGCGTGGGTTTCAGGAATCTTTTGTTAAAACAAACCAAGGAAAATAAATGTCAGAAATGCCATCTGGAACAGGCTTTTGCTAATCATTTTGGTAACCAACACAGAGCTCAGAGACTGCAGACTGATTATTCAAATTCCTTTGTTTTTTTAACCAATGTCAAGCAGCGATGACAAATCTGGGGAATTTTCTGAGTGACTGGAGCAGGGAGGTAATACCAGCCTGTACTTCCACTGTCCCCTCCAGCTAGAAAACTCCAGGTACTTGTTAATCAATGTTATGGGCAAGAATAACACATATGCTGTAAGTCCAGCACATACACAAGGTCTGCCCTTCGGTGCTGTCCAACATTTTTATCTTCCCAGAAGAAGGGCACCCACTCACCTGCTGCGTGTCTGGGACCCTGACTGGGAAGCAGAGAGGGGAGACTGAGCCCTGGGAGCTGTTTGGGACGTGGAGGGGGCTCTTGCAGAGGTGGCCACAGGAGGTGCTTTGCTGGAGGAAGGGCTGCACATGTAGGCTCGGTTTGAGGTGGACACCGGGCGACTAGAATCTTGACTAGAAGATAGAGATAAAGAGGATGCAGACTGGTTCAGCCGTGAGTGGTGCCTCCATGACCTCATTCCTGAAGAATCAAGATTGTCCAAAGACTCCCCTCTGTAACAGAGATACAAGCACCTCAAATGTAAATGCCAGTACAGACGGAGCAACAGAGCTATATCCTGACCTTTTTAAGAGAAAGCCATTAATCTTGCATTTTTAATATTTTCTGGGATTAATATGTTTGTTTGATCACCCTTGAGCAATATTCTTCCTGCACAGATTTAAAATGTATGGGTAGGAAATTATCCTTTGTGTCCAGGCATAGTTCTCATGGTAAAAAACGGGTGAGGCAAAAGCAAAACACTTCACTGCAGCCTTATCAGGGAGAGCTGTATCAAAATCCACAGTGCAGAAACAGACCTCAGATACCAGCTTTGTTTATGTTTTCTCCAAGGGATACCAGATCGAAAATAACAATCCACCCAGATGGGATAGCATCACCCAGGTACAAGGCGTTGGCCCAATAATCAAACACTCTCCTGACTGATAACTTGGCTGTTTCCTAAGTGACAAATCCAACACTCATACATTAAATAAAGCAAAAAAAAAAACTATCCCAACTTTATTACATATTTCTGTGTTGAAAAAGGCATACTTCTTCACCACAAGAATTCATTTCCAAAACAGGTTGCCATGCTGAAATTCTTAAATGTATCTGTCAATGACAAGGCACACCATTGATTTCCATTGCTGCTGTACCAACCAAGAAATAAGCAGCTGAGATACTAACAGGTCACATCCACATTCCTTACTTGCAAAAAAACCCATTCAATCCCAGCTGTAATACAGATACCTTCTTCTATCTGGGCTGCTATGCTGTCTGCCTTACAGCATTTCACAGACTCAATTTGTTTCTAGGCTCTGTAATACAGGCTAAAGTTCAGAATAACCAAAGCAAAATGTATGATGAGAGACAGTTAATTTTTAATGTGATTCCTACCTCCTCATACTACTGCTGTACAGACTAATGGGCTCCTTATGTATACTGGCACTGCGCTGCCTAATCCAGCTGCTGTCCGTGTGTAGAGATGTTTTCTTTCTCATTTCCTGAAGGATTTGCTGTCTCTCCAGCTCTGCTGCAGACAGGTTTTGCTCCTTCTGAGGCTTCTTCTGCGACTCACCCGTGTTCCAGGACCTCTCTGAATACTTGCTCTGGGTACCTGTGCAGACAACATGTGCAAACATCAGCCAGACACCTCAGGGCACAGAAGCTGTTATGGTCCTGTCAGCACTCTGGCTACAATTCCAAGAGCTATTGTTCATCATTCCATTCACAAGTTATTCCAGTTCCCTTTTACAGCCCAGTAAAACTTACCAATACAGCATTACTGATTTTTTTTGTTTATATTTCCATTAATGTAGCCTTTTACATAATGCTTGATTTAAATACATTCTCCTTCACTTCCTAAGTGTATATGCATTGATATTTGTACTCTTTTTAAAAGGGTATCACCTCTTTTAGAACCATAATTTAGACTCTTCCTCCAATACAAACTGAACCATGTGTAAAATGCATAGTTAAATGACAGGACACATTCTTTCTCTTTAAAAGTTCGTACTCTTTTCTTCTGTAAGTTGTCTCTGTTTACAAGAATTTCTTTCATTCTTTCTTCAAGGCACTAAAAACACTGCTTTATATTGTTTTATATAGATACAAAGGGGACAGGTAAATCTTTCAGTTAATTGGATTATGTGTTAACTACTCAGTTGAAATGAAATTAATGGTATAGATGGTCTTTGAGAATTTGGAAGGGAAAACAAAGAAGCATTCTTTCTCCAATAGGTGTTGACATATCAGAAGGGAACAATTTTTTATTTCCTAGATCCAGTACATATTCTTCATAGTAAAAAAACAATTAAGAAAATTACTCAGCAGTAAGTCATTCAATTGAAATTTCAATCCTTTTAAATGCTGCTCTGACAGTAGATTAGCTCTTGGATTTACTGGTATAGATTATCATTGTAAAATACTGCAGAAGTTTACTTTCTCTTTAGTTTCAATGACAGTGCTTTAATGTATGAAAGCAACATTTTTAATCTGCAATATATCCCTTAATACATCTACTTTTCTTTGATTACTTGTGTCTACTTTTTTTAACTGTGTTTTAGACATAAAAGTAGCTTGCAGGCATTTTTGACTGTAACATATTTATAAAATTGGTTTGTTTGCTTTGCACCTAATTCTTCTAATATAACCAAAGTCATATATCTGAACTAGAGTCCAGGACACAAGCCATTGTGACATATCAAGAGCTGACTTCTTGCTCTATTATTACCACACTAACTGAAATTAAGAAGACAAATAGTTGTATTAAATACATTCATCATCTTTGCATGTGCAGCTTTTTTTTTGACAGAGTTAATGCATCAAAACTACACATATCTTCAATGATATAACTGCATGATTGATTTTATCTCATGTAAAAATCTCATGTTAAAATTTAGGCATCTAAGAGCCATTTGTAATCACTGTCTTCAAATGGGTAGTTAATCATATTTGTCCTCAGCTTTTATGTTGACTGTATGATTTTCCTCTTGCTGTTGAAAGTTCATTAAATTGGAGCATAGTATGAATTCACAATACAGCTATTAAAAAGACTCTAAAAATTAATTTTCTTAGGGTGACTATATGCACACGTTTTTTTCCTCCTACTTCCCTCCCTCCCTCCCAAAAAAATTAAATATAATGGAAATTGGACATTACTTACCATTTCTGATTGTGTTGACTTCATTCAGTTCTGTAGTTGACTTTGACTTATTCCTAAGGATATAAAAACATCTATCTTAATTACAAGACCTCATTACAGACACAGCTCTTATCATTGCAGATGACAAAACCAGTCCTCTTTTTTCACTATTCCTTCCATCAACTATTTATGCTATACTTAAAACAAGAGGCAAAAAATAAATAAAGACCAAGAGGATGCTAAATGGAAAAAAAGTCAATATTTAGATCTCAATAGATAGTCACCAATTAAAAGTTAAAATTTTGCACTGAAAGTTGTCAGTGCTTCAGGTATAAGGAACTGATCATTGTACTTGTTTCAAAAAAGCAATGTAAAAAACCAAATCCTTCCCTGTGGAAGCTTTGTGAAGACTGCAGTCAGACAAACAAGCAAGAATTTTCAGAGCAGATTTACAATTTATTTGGCTTAATGAGGACCTGAAATCATACTTCAGCACTGTTACTAAACTGCAAGCAAAACACCCTCTCAAAACCCTGCATGCAGATTGCTTTTGGAAAAATTTACTGTTCACTGATTATACCTAGCAGCATAATTTTTAATGAGTTTTAGCCAAGAAATGGCATTCAACAAAGGCCATATACAGGAAGACAAATCCAAAAAGTTTGTTTTCTGACAGTACAGAGCAGAAGCCTCAGCAACACCTCTGCTGTATTATTAGTCTCAAGTAGTACAGCCAATTTTTTAGTTTAAAATAACTCACAAAGAAAGGATTTTAAAAGAAATCCTTTGCTTGGTCCCAACTCAAAGCTGCTACATTAATGTTTTTACACATACAGCATTGGCTGCACAGCCACATTTTGAAAGAATCTTGTCCTTTATGTAGAGATAAATGAAGCATAAACTACATCACATCTTGCTTCCTTAAGTTTTTACTGTCTGTCCTATGGTGTGGGCCTATTTTATTATCTATTTAAGAAGATGCAACACTCTCACAGCTGCTTGTAGTGAAGAAAAAAGCGATGTCCTCCTCACACATATATCCAAGATGTAACTATTTACTATTTAAGAGTGCTTGCTTCTTCTGAAGTTAGATCTAGATCTTCCATTACTAATAGACCCATTAAATGTACCTTGTACCTTTATATAAGAGAGGTATGCTCACTTCAACTACAAGAAGTGATTAATTCTACAGCAGAAGTCACCTTTCAGAACTACTGAGATGCAATGCAAAACAAAGGCTTAATTTGTAAAGCAAGAGATTGTAGCTTAAAATTAACTTGTGTAAATTACAGGAGTAACATGCACTATCCCCTTGATAAATATCCTGCTGCTGCCTCTCACTTCCCTTCTTGTTTACTCTCTCAAGTTGCACAACCCGAATTGGGATGATTGCACCTTAGTTTGTAGAGCATGCTATGACACAACCACAAGAGATCTGAAATTGTTTTCCAGCCAGGTAAGTTTAGTACTACCCACATATTTACCTCCTCACAGTTTTGTTGCTCCCCATAGAATCCCACTGACTAACTGTTGCTTACAACACAGTGTATAATTTGACAAAAGTTTGGCCATTTGTTTTTTCAATATGAAAACATGCCATAAAAACTGCAAAACACAGCAGCAGTCACATATCCATTTAGCTGCTATGACTAAAGTTTATTAGAATTTTAAAAGTTTTCTAACAAAGAAATGGTGATGTTACAGTTGGTGTTGAGATTGAATATTGGACATACCTGTCAGCAAACGACTGGCCAGGCTGCGCCTCAACGGTTTTAGAAACTTCATAACGCTCATAATGTCTATTGGAAAGAAAAGAAACGTTATGTTCACATACAGAAAAAGACACACATAGTTCCTAAGGGAAATATTCAAAATAGATCCTGAAGGAAAAAAAACCCCAGTTTAAAGTAAACTCCCCAAACAAGTAAAGTTCTAAGGAGTCTTAATTTAACAGTCAGAAAAAAAAACTGATAAAAGAAGGCAGAAAAAGAAGAGTTGACAGAAAAACTGCCTGAACTTACATTTTTGTGAAGTGACAAGGAAACCAAACATGAGCCTGCCAGAATGGGTATTGCTAAAGATGTTTCAACTGTGTATTGATTCAATTTCTTATTACCTGTCAATGACAGGATGGCCAGCTCGATCCTCTATCGTTTTAGATACTTCATAGCGCTCGTAATGTCTAGAAGCAAAATAAAGATAAAATACATATTAAAAGAAAATTCTAGACATTGAGAAAACAGTAAGTATCCCCAGAGAAAACTTAGAAAGTTCAGCTATGTTAAAAGAATCCCAAAGAGTAAGGTGCTGCAAAAATTACAAGCATCAGTATACAACAGTGATTATCTCACCCATTTCAAAGCCAGGAGGAAAATTTTGTCAAAGCACAGCTGTTCTATAGAAATTACATTTTTATTGCAGAAGAGTGTACAGGTGCAGTTTATAAACTCACAAAGTTCCACGGAAAACACTCTTTAGCTAACTGTCCCCTCCCCCCCTTTGCAGCAAGTATCATGCCTTTGCAGGTGTTTATATAACGTTTCAGATTTCAAGTCTTATCTTTGGATATCATCTTATAGCAAATATTTAACACCAGATATTTTAAAGCCCAGTTTCACTGAACTTGCTCCTTTACTATTAAACAAAACGTCCCATGTTTAGCAAAACACATCCTTTGGCAGCAACCTCAGAGGCAACGAAATCCCTGTGGACTAAAGAATGTGCCAGGGATTTAGATATGCAGATATTACAGCAGCTTAATAAGTTACCACACAAAGTCCTATCATCTTGCAACTGGGACAAGCTAAAACTGTAAAGTTATCCTGGCTCTGCTCTCAGGAAGAACCTGTTCAGCCATTGTAGCATTGTATCTCTGCTTTGCTCAGCAGGCACATCAAGCAGCAGTCATTTAGATTAAACTAAAGTAACTCTGGGTTTTACAACTTCTTCTGCAAATATATGCATTTTTTTAAAATCATACTGCTTTCTCCTAAGGCTTAGCTTGATACTACGTGATCCCTTTAGTCATCTCTTGTTACTTACATAGGAAAAGAGATAAACCTTAAGAGAACCCAAAAGTCATACACAAGGCAGTAAGGTAAATGGAGACAAAATAATGAAAGGTTACTGGTTTAATCTGTTTTCAGACAGATTAATCTCCTGTAACAGTAGTCTGAAAACTTCTGGGCAAGAACACAAATTGAGAGCTAATAGGTGGGGATTTGTTTGTTTGATTGATTTTTAAATCAAGCTGCTAAAGAAGGTAATGAGAGGAACAAACATATCTGCAGTGGATATTTCTAACAGGCTATGATATGTAAGCAAGTAACAGTTCACTCATATACCATGATATCCCTCACCTGTCAAATTAACCCAGTAGTTAAATTACAATTAAGCTTTATTGTAACACTGTTGAATTAAAATGAGAGATAAATCTGTAAAAATCAGCCACACATTTGTTGAAAAAGTGTTAACTTCATATTTCTTCTGGAAGCCCTGTATGTTGAGTCACTGGCTCTCACGTTGAGTCACTGGCTTATGCACAATTCTTACAAAATTTTCTCATTAAGTCCTTCAGATCCTCTTTCATTTAGTTGTAATTACAGTACTTACACACCCCATTAAAAAAAATAGCTGAAGTAGGGAAATATAGCACTTGATTCTTGGGGAAGGACTGTGTTATGCCTGATCCTTCCATCTTTGGAAAAAAAGACTATGGTATGGGATTTTGCACCTAGTGACTGCAGCATGAATCTCACATGAACATCCTCATACATTCAGGACAGACACAGCCCCGTTGGACACGGATTTGAATTTGCAGAAGGAAGAGAAAGTACATCCTAGCACAAGTGCACACCTTTGGTACTGAGGCACCTCCACTGATGCCTCCCTCTGCTTTTCCGCCTGCCGCCTCTGCTCCTCCAGCTCCGCCTGCCGCCTCTGCTCCTCAGCCTGCTGCTGCTCCCTCTCTTTACGCTGTCTCTCCAGCTCCAGCTCTTCGAGTTCCTGCTCTTGCTCAAAATGTCTGGTTGCTTCTTCCTGGATCCTCCGTTCCTCCTGAAGCCTCCTCCTTCCTTCTTCCTCACGCAGCGAGCTCGCTGCCAGCTCGTTTTCTCCATCTCGTTCTGGCTCCTTAGGAGCATTTGCTTCCGGGCTTGCTGTCCAGCTGGACACAGGTGGAGCCTGAGAAGTGATAGATGTTGTATTTAGGGTTAGAACAGTCTGCTCCTGTAGCAAAGAAAAAAAAATAATGTTTTTAGGGAAGGGATCTGTTTTTTAAATAGATTGCTCCCTCAGGAAAGGTAATTTATTCTATAAAGTAAGCGTGTATAAAAATCATCCCCAGCACTTTGAGTGCAAGATGCAGGGCACAGTTTGGTTGCACATTCTCCTAATTCAAGAGCTTCAATCCACACACCAGCCTTAGCAAGCACCACAGGCAGCGTGGCCACAACTATGTGAAACATTCTGCTTTCCAAAGTATCACTTACATGTCAAACCATCCCTTCCCCACTTAAATACCCATGGAAAACAAACCCTTCCATGATAACCAGCATTTCTCCCTACTGTTTTGACTTAGAAACCTGAGACCTATTTAAAAGTGTATACACAAAGATATACACTGCAATCTATGTCAGACCGATGAATTTCACATGAATCTTCATGTGAGGCATCTCCCACTCTCTTCCATTCTCCTACCATTTCAAAGTCAAGCCTCAGACCTATCACTCTATGACTCTTTTCGCAAAAATGAGAAAAGGCCTTTCAGTGGTCAAAAGATGTTTTAGTTACAGGAAAAGAAATAATGTTGATGGGTCCATCAAAATCTTTTATGACAGAAAAAATACAAAATGGTTTATATTCTTGTACAACAAAGTCCTCCAACAGCTCAAAAATCTTTCTTATTGGAGTTCTAAGCCTTAAATTATGGTCTGCTCATTCATGACTGTGTAAACACAACTGATCTAGCTTGGATGCCTGAAGCAACACTCACTTAGCAGTAAAGAGGAGATACCCCAGACAGTTCCCATACTCAGGAAAAAACTTGTTCATCTTCCCATAAACAACAGCCACAGAAGTCAGCATCTACAGAAACTACACACATTCAGTGTTTTAAAATATATAACTGGAAATCTAAAGTTGATTTGGTATGTAAATTTATCAGATGAACTGTCTGCCAATAACAAGCCAGACACTTATGAACATGCTTCCTGATAAACTATTGAAGCAGAACTCCAACAAGTATCATCAGGTGGTAAATAAACAGCAAAAGTCTCCATTTATAATCACAATAATTAATACATGCTGTGACTTTTTGTCAACATATTTTTCCTGTTAGTTACCTAACCAGCTCATAAGGAAGACACAAATTCAACATATCTCAATACATCCCATCTACTCTTTCCATCTTATTTTTTTCTCTACCAAGTCATAGACAACAATTTATTTTCCAAAATGAAAAGATAAATGACATAAAAAAAACTAATATTTTGCTTGCTTTCATCCATTTAGTATAAGGGGAAAAAAGCCCTCATGAAACTAGTCAGTAAAGCTTTATTCACAGCCTACCTCATCAAAATACTTGGAGCTCTCTTTTTCTGCTTCTTGCTTAGCTCGTAGCCATTCTTCCCTCAGTTTCTCTTGTTCTCGTTGGTATTTCTCCTGTTAGGTTACATTGAAGTTAAACATGCAAATAAGAAACATGGTATTTTTTACTTTTATTAAAATGCACACTGGATTTTAATGTGTTTTTTTAACAGACCAAACAGACCAGACAAATAACATCCCTGAGCTCCACTAGAATGTCAGGTCTGCCACAAATGAAATCCTGGCTCAAATACAATCCAAAGGAGTTCCGTAATTGATTTTTGAGTCTCCAGGCTTATTATGCTCCAAGTCTCACAAAAGCCAACTTCATAGTCCCTGTCCCTCAGTTTAGTTGCCATTTGAACAAAAAAAACTCAGCTATCTAAGGTATTTCTGGAGAAACACAGTGGTTGTATTTAACTTGGAACTAGGCACATTAATATTGTAAATATAAAGTGATCACTAAGTGAAATAGTAAGATCTCTCATTCTTTTGAAATGTTACCCTAAACAAAACCGAATTTCTGGACCTTGAAATTTGTCTTTTGACTAGATTTGGTATGAAATCAATATAAAGTATTGCTTAAAGCACATGGCAAATGTTTTGGTGGTTTTGTCAATCACTACTTTTATCTTGGGAAAAGCAAAATATTTAAGAATGTCAAAATTATTCCTTCTAGGATGCTGGAAATAAGCAAAGAAAGATTTTGCCTCCTTTTTTTGTGTTATTTGAAAATTCATTGCTAGGATCATGGGGAAGAGAAAGATCATTATTTCTCTGGTCAAATTTATCATTTCAGGACTAAAAAAGGAGAAACAAAGAAAAGTGATAGCAGATGGCTGAGTCAGCTCTCAAGAAAGGGGAGCCAAGGTTTACACTCTTTAAAGCCATCTCTTCAGGTATCACATGGAACATCCAAACCATAACAGAGACCACAGGTAAGTTTAGGAAGGTACAGCTGCTGCCCTGCAGAGTGTGCAAGCTACAAGGAACAACACTCAAAAAGCAAGAGAGATTCTATGCTTGTACTTTGACATCACAGTTTTCTGCTGAATACAGCCAAAGAGGGCTTGTGCAGAATAAATGATATTCACTGATGTCTCTCCTAGCCACCAGACTTCAGACAACAAACTTTAATTTAATTCACAGAGATGTGTGTCTGAACATGGTTGAATGTGCTTACACTTCATTGAGTGGAGCTCTTTGCAGAAATGTATGCTTGGGTTTTTTTGCTACCCTAAGACTAGAAACAATGCCCCCTCCCTCTGCAACACCCCCCTCCAGCTCTAGCTAGTGATTATCAAGATGGTTTTGCATTAGCAGATTCAGCTTTCTGACTCAGAGGTCCTGGGAACCAGATTATTCCAACTGATTAGCTGATTGCTAAATGACAAGATTCTAACCAGCAGGTACTGGCTGCCTCCTCAACATTTATGAATACAAGGCAGTATCAGTAATTGAAGGTAAAACTCAAGCTAGAGGCAACTTCCTTAAGGGGAGAAAAATACAATTAATATTCAAAACAGAAGACCCCTTAGTTCTTCACTTAACCTTTAAATTCTGTTTCATTAAGAATATACCAGCCTGGAAGGTTGAGCACTTCCAGCTGTAGTGAATATACATTGTGTGTTTGATTTTATAATGCTCACTAAAGCATTATCCTCTTTTGTCTGAATAACTCCTAATGTGTGCAACTGTGCAGGCCACAAAATGCACCTGAGAGTCTCCCCAGGCCATCAGTAATAAGAACTGCAGAAGTCACACGCTACTTTTCTTTCCTGGTTGCTACACACGGGGGATTGACAGCCCATGATTATGAAGATGAATTATACCTGCAGCAAACGGTCCTGCTCTTTTTGCCATTTTTCCTGTCGTTTTCGCTCTTCCTCTTGATCCCAAACCCGACGGCTAGGAGCGCTGATGGAGGGGACTGGGAGCTAAAATAGCACAGAAATGAAGTTGTATTATCCTCTTGCCATGTAATCAACACTCCACATTTCTAAACATTTTTTTAGAGTGAGAAATAGAAACCATTACCAACGCTAGAGCTTTATAGTGACAAGGACATAAATTAGCCTGTTCTTCACACGGACAGAAAACAACCATGCCTTGAAAAAGCAAATCTTAGTCATTACTCTCAGATTTGCTCAAAATTGTAAAGCACTATAAAAAGCAGTAGAAAGCAGAGAGCTTCTTGAAAGGACTAGGATTATACAACCAACTAGTAGTTCACAAGTAGTACTTACATCAGGCATTGCAGGCTCTGGACCTCCTGGGAGTTTTGGAAGGCAAAAAAGAGAAATCATTAGACCCATACATAACTACTGCAAGACTTGTGTAACTGTGGCAAGTCTGTGAGCTTCAGACTAATTTTTTCTTCCTTAGTAAGACATGCTTGCATTTGCCCTGCTGAACTTTCTCGAGGGCAGAATTTATTAGGTGCTTTCAACTAATGTGCACAATTGTTTCAAAGCTTTGCATGCTCACAAGTGCCATCAGCAATTGCCTGAATTAGCAGTAAACCTTCCACTGTAGCAACACAAAGGTTCTTCAATATACCTCTCCTATTACTGTTGTTGTGAAACCCAACTGTTTAGCACGACCAATACCCAGAACACTGCACAAGGATAGAGAAGCTATTGGTCTACTGCCCTTGGCATGAATTAAGAGCAATTGACATCCACTGGAATCTCCTCCACCACAAACCCATGTATTTTTGCTCTCCGACTTTCCTTCTTTCCAACTTCCAAAAGCACACTTCAATTCAGTGAACTGGTCACCACTCACCACAAACCTTTTGCTATTTGAGGCTATCACACTTGGCCTTGTCATCCTGTGACAAGATGATTATTAGAGAGAGATGTGTATTATACTAATTTATTACAAGTTGAGAAAATGGGGAGAAACACAAATTAAAATGCAATAATTTCTTAAGCACCATCACTATTTTTGTTTGTTGACAGTGTATTTGCTACTTAGCTGTCCAAATTTCAATTTTAAAAAAAGGCATAAAAGAAAAAAAAATTGCAACATTATTCTGAAGTTTAACCATATGAAGTGGAAAAAAGTTCACATTTAGGATACAAAAGACTCTAAGGAGTCACAGGTTAGCATCCGTTCTATATATACACAATTTTGTTGTCGCTGTCAGATCACAACAGCCACAGTGAAAATCAGGCAATCAGCTTAATCTATTGCAGTGGTGCCAGGAGATATTAAAGGGAAGCATAGACCTTTTTTGCTCCCCTCTTTTCTCACCCCTGTAAGCTTATGCTGAACTCCACAGGAATCTTCATGTAATTGCAAAGCTGAAGTGTCAAAAGTTTAAAATTAACAAGCTGTACTGAACGTGCACTCCAGAAATACAACCTTGTCCTCCCCCTCAAGCACAAGTGAAATACCTCAAATATTGTAATGAAAATATTTAAAAGAAAAAACTAATTTCTGCCAGCCATAAAATAAAAATCAGACAACAACAACAAAACCCCAACACCAACAAATAACCACCAACAAAATACCACCATATTGCAGATACAGCAGAAGTATTTAAAAAGCAAACAGAACCACAAACACGTATCTACTGTGGCATTCCACATATCGCTTCTGGCAAAAACCAGAAATCAGCAACACTAAAAGCAAAATCCTGGCCCCACACAAGTCATTGGCAAAACTCAACTGAGCTTCCAGCAGGCCAGAATTTCACTCTTTCAGGCTACAGCAAAACAGAAAGGCATACATAGCCCAAATACAACATAAGACATAAAACATTAGTGGAAGTATGTGAGCTGTGACATGCAAAATGCTGAAAAAGCAACCTACAAAACCAAAATTGAGTGCCTCGTTCATTGCCTTTTTAAAAAATGCTGGCATATTAAATTCAAAATTTATATTGGTCTTCTTGGGATCTTGTGACATTACCACGTAGTGGAAAGCCAGCAGGTACCTTTTTATACCAATTTATGCAAAAGCACAGAGCTGCAACTCAAACTCAAATGCAGAGTTAAATGCTTCATCAACAGCTCTGAGATCTTCTCTAAACCTTTGCTGGAATATTCACCATTATTCTTGTTTTGTAGGTAGTAGCAAACCTGAACAGAGAGTGCCACCCTTCTAACTTCTACCCAGTGGGAAAAAAAAAGTATGAACAACACAGAAAAGATTTAAACAGCTATAGATATAAGAGAACACGCAAAGACCCATTACCACAAAGGTAGACCCATGAATTGTAAGAATAACCTGATGACCCTGGGGAAAGAAGGGAAATTAATTATGTTGCTTCATTGTAACTGCAGAAACAACACTGAAGAGGTAGAGCACCCAGCACCAGACTTGTTAGGGAGAGTGTGCAGCAGGAACAATTTCATGGAAGTACATGAAATGTTAGCTCTTTGGTTTACCTTGTTCAAAAAATTGTGACCGCCTTTTTAAGTTTTTCAAAGAAATAGGTTCAGATGCTATTTGAAAAATACAAAGAATACAAACAAATCAAAATGAGGTGCCTTTTTTTAAATTACTATAATGACTGGATAAGAAACTTCAGTTAGACCTCCCATACATTGCAACATCACTTCTGAAAGCAAAAAGCCCCTGAAACGCAAAGGAAAACCTTAGGAGGTTACATCATATACTAATTAGGACTTCATTTTATCAGTAACAATGTCCAACAATAAAAACAGCACAAGTGTCAAACTCAGACTCAGATTCTCCCTGTCTAATTTAATCATCCTTGACTAGGATTCAAAGTTGAAATGAGGAGCCTAATGACCATTCAAGGCCATTAGAAAACATCTCCAGAGGGCAAGTGATATCTTGGAGGAATTTTTCTATGAATTGCCATGTGTATTCAAGCTAAAATGAAACACAAAGTTCCTTCTCCAGGATATTATTCCGTTAGGAAGTGTACATACCTGGTTTCTCTCACTGCTGTCAAGTAAGGCTATAACTACTCATAGCCTCATATGCAATTATTATTCATATCATAATCATCAATATTGTTCTCCAGGAATAAAAGTACAGTAATAATAGTGAAAACAGCCACTAACCCCAAAACCTTACAACTGAAAGAGGCAGGAAAAAGTAGCAAAAAGTTGAGTACTCTACACTCTTCCTGGGTAGTGAAATAAGTCAATACTCATACTAACTCAGTCACCATACAATGCAGTAGCAATTACAATAAATGGTGTGCCTTCTTGTCTTTCACCCCTACCAAACATTAAATTTGCAACCATTAATGCACAGATGGGGCTTTGTTGCAGCTTTGTTGTCAGTTCTCAAACTGCCTAGCAAATTGTGGAAGCAAGCTAAACCCAGTTTGGATGCAACAAGATCTCTGTGATATCTGTCTGGCTTTTGGTTCATTAAGGTCTCACTTCACCCACTGTATAAAGCTTCCAGTCATTACTGGCTTAGTGTCTGTGCTTGTCACAAACCACACAATTAGCAGATGAAAAGCAACAGTGGTTTACCTCTTTGTTCATTAGAGCCAAGATCTCCTTGCATTCCATTTATCAATTTTGTTTCTGTATCCTGAAATACATAAATGAATAAATAAATAAATAAATAAATAAATGTCTTAGGCTCATTAGATTTGTGGAAGTTTATCCAACTACGCATCTTTCTTATCAGGAACTATGTGTCATGAAATACTTCATAATATTTTGTAGAAAGATACAAAACAATCCAAAACTTCCTCAGTGTAATTTATAATAAAGCTACTGCATGCATTTGAGGGAATCAATAACCAGCTGTGAACTGCTGCAGAAATAAAACACATTAGCTTGCAAGAAAATTCCAGAGGCCAAAATCTTCCTTGGCAGGCAGGTTTTATTTGCAAGTAATTTGAAAGCACATATGCACCTGTTCTTTGGGGCTGCAACTTCCATTTAGGTTAATAATTCAGGTCAAAATCTTCTCTGAAGAACAAACATTGTATATGGTTTTAATCAAAAGATAGTCTGCACCTGTTTTAATATTTATCATTCACCAGTGTTCTCTCATGAATAGACAGTAGCAAGTCTTTAAAACATCTTATTTACCTTAATACATGCATAGCTACCTCTCCATATTTCACATGCAGGGTTCTACACTTGTATTGCTTAAGGAACAGAAGATTCACAAGTTCTTTTCTCATCCTCCCACTATCAAGACACTACATTTTTTCTTCCTCCCCTCATCTCCCATGAACCTTCAAAAACATACTCACAGAACTTTGAAGGCTGCTGGAGAAATCTCTTTTTGTGGATATGGTGGAAGCATTTGAAACTTTTTCTCCCGAAGTTGCATCAATCCATTTATTTTCAGATGTACCTATAATGTTGGTAGCCACACTGGTGAGATTGAGGATTTTATGCCTTACATGTGGCAGGGAAGGCAGGTCTTTGCCCCAGTCTTTTTGGTATGTGGACGATTGAGAAATTAATATAGACAGTAACGTCAAAGAACAGAACAATAGCTAGTGAAAACATTAAAATAACACAAAAACAGGAGAGGGGACACACAAATCAGGTGGAATTTGTGAAGACAGGAAAAAGGGCATTTATAGCAGACCGCCTTCCCCAAAAATGAAAGTGTTAGTCATAAGCCAGGTAAAAGTTTGCCAAAACAAAAGATGTTTTGCTGATATGTGCTACAGCAGCTGAACATTAGAGAGAAGTTAGCATTCATTGGACACTATTTCATTAGTGTTAGTAAGGATTAAGAAAATTCTTCTGACTTTACTCACTCCAGGTACAATGACACTCATACACTATCCAGGGAAGGATTTTCATGTCCATGCTCATCAGGAAGCACAGAGAGGGGGAAGAAAAGGCAGCCTAAACTGAAGTGGCAAATTGATGAGGCAAGTACAAATAATGCTCTTCTCACATACTCCATCCTATCTCCCTTCCCTACCCCTCCTACTGAAAATTTTATTCAATTAGTTTTTTGCCACAAATCTCACTCTTCAGTTGTATTAGGTCCTATAAAGTGATTTGTTTCTTGTCTCTTCCTAACCCCACTGTTTTTACCCCAGTTTGCTGGTAAATTATTTACCTAGCATCCCACTAAAAGAATGTTTTGCATTTATATTGTGAAAGAAGTCACTGGTCACACTTCAACTCTGCAAAAATTCTTCTAGAACTTTAAAAGGGTTTCCTGATTAAAACCATGGCAAGTCAAGACATGCTACAAGGCGCTCAAGCCAGGATAGAAACCCTCCCTACCCAGAATAGGTAGGACCACTCTGGAGAGATTACAGCACCACAATATTTGGGTCAATGGCCAGAATCATAGCACACAGATGCTGCATCACCCACAAGCTTATACCTCACTTCAAACACTCCCTGAAGAAAGGAAAAAAAGATCTTCCTTCCCGGAAGAAAGGGAGCTGGTGATTGAGAGAGAGGGCCTTTAAAAATTAGTGATCCCCTAGTGATCCTCTAGTGATGCCCTAGAGATCAGACCCTCTTAATTCTTGTGGTATGGCAGGGAAGAAAATGTTAGATTCCTTTTTGTGCTGGTTGCACACTTTTTTTACCTGTCCATCCTCTAAGAAACAGGCCAGAGCACAAGAGTGAGGTCAGTAGTTCAATGTTTTGCAGATTTGCTTGTCAAGACATTTCTAATGCCAAGCAGTTAAAAAAGCCAAGTTGTGTTAAAATGCAACAGACACATTGGCAAACTACTCAGCTTGGACACGTATTACTGCTGTAAGGGTAATAAGGACTCTCAGCTGTCAGGCACAGCAGAGACAAAGCTTATTTGCCTTACAGAGCATACAGTATCTGCCTGATGAAACAACTCACCATTCTTTCCATATCGTCTGACATCCATGACCAGGTTTCCAGTTTCTAGTGCTCTGTTGATGGCTTCTTCCCACTGACTGTGGTCCATATGGGAAACCTTTGTGCCATTGACAGCAATGATCTCATCATCTACATGCAGCTGACAAAGTGCTGCAGGGCTGCCTACAGAAAACAGAAGAAAAATGTTATTATGTCTCCATATTTTTTCTTTTTATCACAGTTGTGATTGGAAGAGAGTGGTTTGGGGAATCATTGAAAGAAATGCTTAATGGTGCATATTTAGAAAGTCTTAGAAAAATTCACTACTCTATAAAATAAGCTCAGTAAACTCAGTATCAAAGCAGCTTTTCAATTTAGAACTTAGGAGAACAAAAAAGAAATCAGTCTTCCGGACTTGGAAGTTTCAGATTATGGTCCCCCCATTTTAATAAACAACCTCTGTGTTCAGTCTTCACTAACTCAACTTTATAATCTGTGACAGTTAGTGAGAGAGAGGCAGCACAATGTCTATATCCAATGATCAGCTGAAATTCAGCCAATGTTTGGGTAATCCTCTTATTTGTCAAAAAAACCCCCCAAAAAACAGCCTGCACTTTGTTAAGCCCAGTAGAAGCTGGCTTTCTTGTATTCTCATTTACATTTTCTGACCTCTACTGACAAGAGCATGATGCTTTATTGCTTTGCCAGAATAGTTTATTAGCTCTAAATTGATTGGTAATTGGACTCAAGATATTGCTGGGTATTGTCCCACTAGACTTCTCTGGATTCTACTTATTTTATCTATTAAGAGCAAACTTTATGGCAAGTTGGACTTTGAATCTACTGATATTTTGCAAGACAAGCTGCACTTTATACTTTTTTCATCTGCTACACATTGGCAGGCAATCTCACTAGACTAAGGACAGAGTACATAGAAGACCAGTTCATAAACTTTTTTTCTATTTAATTCAGAAAATGGATAGGCTGAGAAACTCAGACTCTCCAAGCAAGATTTTACAGATTACATATGAATGGTTCTTCCATTAAGAATTATTCCCTTAACAGAACAGAAAATAGAAAAGCCAAGTAAAAATATAGTTAAGGACTGCACAATAAACTCTCATGTTAATAAAACAAGTTTGAATTACACAGTGGAAGGATTTTCCAAAGTAAGCAGTGAAATACACACATCTTACTTAAAATATACCAAGAACAATGCCCTATTACATTATTAGAAACAAATGTGGACAAGTATGACAGAAAACTTTAGATACCATATGCTTCATCCTGAGTGTCTTTTGACTCATTAGTAAAATGCTGCTGTAAGTCTGGCTCATCCACTAAGGATTCAGATGGCTTGACACACAAGGAAGTTAAGAAATTAAGAAATGCTCTTTTTCCTAGTACTGCACCAAATAATGATTGATCACAGCTCACTAAAAAGCTCCACTGGCTTCTCTGCTAACAGAACATGGCTCCATACTATATTGTTCTGCATCATTCTTAAAATATGGACTAAAAACTTCATTTGCAGTTATCAGTACTAATGCTTTTAAACTGTATTGTGGAAGAAAAGGTAGGGTTTTCATCTGAAGCAAGAAATATGGGCAACAGTTTAACTGAAAAAAAACATGGATCTCTAGGGGTCAAGAAGATGTTAAAGAATCATGGATATTCAAGTCTGTTAATGGAAGGTACTACTAAGAATATTACCTGAGATACTAATACTGAAGTTACTAATTTCAACAACTTCATGTAACATTCAGAATCACGTCTGATATTTAGTACCATGTAGTTTAACCAGATCTGGATTAAGCCTTATGCTCATGATACAGGGAAAGCTTCAGGCTGTAGGAGAGTCATTAGCACTCATAATCTCATAATTTCTGTCTTGACTTGTGACAGAATAACCCCCAGTAACCAAAAAAAGGCTGTGTTGATTTTATTCAAATAATTTGTCAGGGATGAGACAACGCTCAGAGGTGTGAACAGTGTACCTCAATTGACTCAGTTTTAGGAAAAGAAGGGAGTTGAAGATTTCACAGTTCTTCCTCTAATATTAGTAGAAAGGTATATGCGGGCCATACTCCAACCATACAGATTGAATGAATAGCAGCAGTCTCTAGATCTGGACCTAAAATACCCAGAACAACTTACACTGCTCAGTTTTTGGCCTGTAACTTTGCCAGCAGCTCTTCCTCCTCAGTCTCTGGACAAAAGAGCTTCTCAAGAGTGCAAACCACGGTGCCTACAGTGCACTTCTGCTCTGATTCACATCCAGAGAAGCCCACAGAGCCTGACCAGAAATTCAGATGCTAAAAGTTGCATGCTACCAGTTGTCTTACCCTGTCCAGCTCCTCCAAGATTATAGGAATTAATTTCTGTACATTCCTATAAAGGATTTAGTTTTTCATTATATAAAATATGTATTGCTTTTGTGTACCTAGCTGCTTTTATGTTTTCCATAGGTTTTCCTGAAGGTAAAAGGCTTTTCTTTCTTACTAGTCCCCAGTAACAACAAAAGCAACCAAATACTCATTTTCCATATGCTCTAAATTATCTCTAACCTATTCCCATCTGTTGTTATTACAATAGATAAACACTATCGCAATGATAGAAAAAAAATAAAACTTGAAGGATGTGGATCAGATTTACTTTGCCCTACATGACTGCAAGTGTTTGATCAGACATGCACTTCTGTGCACACAATCTCAAAAAAATTATTGCAAAGGGAAAGTGAAAGGGGAAGGACTGAAACAATAAAGATTATATGGCACTGGGGAAGTTGGCAGAACAATGTCTAGATTAATGACTTAAGGCTTTCTATTTACCTAATTTTTAGTGTAAAGGTTGAAGACTCCTTTAAAAAATGAGAACTATCCTTTTTTATACGTAGTAAGTGGGTATCACTGAAATATGTGTTACAAGCTTAACTCTTACTTAGGTTTTTGAGAACACTTACAAGTTAATTTTGCCTACCAAGTCGTTTTCTTAGAGGATTTTTTTTTTTCTTAAGGAATAGCATATTTAGAATACAGAGTCATCTTTAAGTAGTAAAAAATATACATGCTGGGTATCATCTCAAGAAAATCATACAGCTAGGAGAAAGTATTCCTGGAAGCTTTTTCTGGGCTTAGGAAAGAGAAAAAGGTGACTAGAATGTTTGGTTTGGATTTGCCAAGCCTAAATCACACTTGACCAACCTGGTTATCTTCAATGATGAATTGCCTAGATCTCTGTGGATGACGGAAGAGAGGTGGTTACAATCCACCTTGCCTTTAACAAGACCATTGACATGATATTCCACAGTATCCAGTTATCAAAAGTGGGATGGGATTGTCCACAGGGCAGAACGACCAGATGGTGAAAAACTGGCTGGGCTGTGAGGCTCTGTGGGAAGTGGTTAATGGCTCTTACTCAGACTGCAGGCTGCTCACAAGTGGATCTCAGGAGGATGTATCAGGGACCTGCCCTGTTTAATATGTTCAGCAATCAGTAGGAGAAGGAGGAAAACACACCCTCATCAAGTTTTCAAACCTTGCCAAAAGTGAGAGGGTGGCCAGTACAATGGAGGGCAGGGCTGCTCTTGAGAGCAGGAACCTGACACTCAACAAGGCCACATGGAGGGTCCTGCTCCTGAAAAGGACTAATCCCAGTGATGGTACAGGCTGGGGAGATTGATGGGCTGGAGAGCAAGGCTGGGGGCCCCGGCAGTGGTGGGGCTGTATGAACACTAACATGACCAACAAATCAAGACAAGTGGCCATTCAATTCACTCAGCACCTCTTATGCCACACTGACAATACTGTGTCCAGCTTTGGTGTTCCTCTGTAAGAGAGACATCAATAGACTGGGGCAAGGTAAATGGGAGAGCACTGGGATGGTTAGGGCTGGAGCAATGGACCTGTTAGGAAAGGCTGAAGAGTATGGGCTTGTTCAGCCTGGAGAAGAGAGGCTGCATGAGAATTTAACAGTACCCCCAAGTACATACCAGGAGGTCCCTGAGAAGGGAAAGCTGCTCTTCATTGAAATTTATGGCAGGAAAACACAGGACAGTGGTTATAAACAGGGACAAAGATCGGTCTGACTGGGCACATAGGGAAAATTTTCTCTGAGAGGATAATGCCCAGAGAGGCTGTGTGGATTCCATTCTCAGAGGATTTCAAACCCCCATTGGTAACAAGCCCTAGGCCACTGGAATTAGCCTGAATTCCATCTTGACATTTTTTTTGAGCAGTGCATTGCCCAACGTGATCTTCCAAGCTAAATTATCCTATGACTTATCCTTAAAAATAGGAAATACAACATTCCCAAGTGCCTAGCTGAAAGCATATATTACTCTTTCAGTGGGTCATCCACATCTTTCATCCTTCATTTCTTTAAAGGGAGCTACAGCTTTTGAGTAATGATACAAGATGGGACAGTTCTTGGAAGAAAAAAGTGCTGAACATAGGCTACAAACGAGAGCACTGAGATACAGCCCATTCTCAGTTAAATCTATACTTTGCGCTCTTCCTTGTGAGAATTGTAATAAATCAATAATAATAATAATAATAATAATAATAATGATGATGATGCATTAATTAGTAATAATATCTTGGTAATAAACCAAGATACCAACCACAAGGCCTTCACCTTCTCCTTGGGACAGAGCCCATGTGGACCTTTGTGAATGACCAGCAGGAACATTCACTACCCTCACATTTCTCCTTTTCAACTGGCAGTGCATATTGACAGACCCCTGCCTCCAAGGCAGGAAATTAAACCCAAAGCCTAGCAGCAGGAAAAGCAAAGGGAAAGTTATTCTTCAGGCAAAGTGAATATTAGTATTTCCAGAATCACAGAATGAAACAGGTTAGAATGAACCACAGTGGTTTATCTGGTCCATCCTCCCTGCTCAAGGAGGGTTGTCCTAGAGCAAATCCAATTATGAAAAGTACTCAGATATAGTAGAAAAAGGCCGCTTCACTTCTTGAATTTGAAAAAGAAAAAAAAAATCCAAGACTTCTCATTAACTGCTGTTAAACAGTATTGTTTCCTCTCTGGAAAGCATAATACAGACCTAACTAAATTAAAAGTTAGCTAAAGAAAGCATAATACAGAGCTAGCTAAATTAATAGTTTCCAGCTATTTCTCCTTTCTCAGGATGATCTTGTGTTGGGTGGAAAGAAGGGCATAATTCAATATTCCTCAAGTATTACTGGCAATGGGAAATACAATTGTTTAGAAAACAAGCATTATATGTGATTTGCTTAGGTTTTTGTTGTTTTTTGGGTTTTTTTTAGAAAATTGAGCTCATTCTCTGCAGAAGACTACTGAAGGTTAGAAATAAACTTTATGTATGTGTCATCTCAAGACAAAAATATTTGCTTTCCCCGAGTATTAAACAACTGAAAAAAACTACACTGAAAATCAATTTGGAAGCTGCAACTACTTAAGAATATGAGCTGTCTCTAGAATTCAGCATGACTAAGAAAGGAGAAATTGAACAAAGAGTATTAACTCCCAAGTTTCTTCTGCAAGTGTTTACAAACCATGTGAAGTGAAATCTTTCAAACTCAGCTGTAAGAAACAGTCTGGACACTGGAAGTCTGCATTTGCCCCTAAATACTGTTCTGTAAGAGGCTCATGTTTATACCCTCCTTGATTAGGAAAATGCATTTTGGTATTCCTGAATTCAACCTGTTTCAAGAGATGAGGGCTCACAGAAATACATTAGCAAACTAAATAGTGATCTTTCAGTTCAGATAGTTCAGCTGTTTTGCAGCATTCTTAGCAGCAAATGCCTTGAGAAACCTCTGCAAATTAAACATAAGAACAAAAATTTGTGAATATATACACATTTACCTTCTTCAACTGTCTGTACAATGGCTCCTGAAGAACTCCAATTTGTTGTAAACCCAAAGCTGCGACTGTGGCCAGGTCTCTGGTTTATACTGATTCTCATTTCACTGTACTGTTCCTGTAAAATAAAACATGACACTACAGTATCTGGTATCACAGGAATCTAAATGAGGGAAAGTTTATCCTCTAAATAAGTGAGGCTGCTCACAATGTGCACTTTAATCATCTATTATTAGCATCACAGACAAAGGAAACAGTACTGAAGTCAGTTAACTAACTCATTTGCTTTTTAGTCCAACAGGTGTTTCAGTTTGCATTTATATTTTCTCTACATGTATCTTTCACTCTGCATTTCTGTTATTTTAGATGTTTTGCAACACAGTGCTAAAAAAATTCAAGAACTTGGAGGAAATTAAACACCTAAATCACTTAAATCATTCTTCATGGATTGTCTTGTGAATTTGTGACATGCACTGCCTCCTCAGTGAGCATCAGAGATGTGAAAAAGCTAGGTAACTGTAATCAATCTTTTTTTTTTTTTTTTGCATATAGTACCATAAGAATCATCAGTTTAGGCTCATGCTGCAACTAGGTTTACTTGGGTGCACAATCATCTTCTTGATTTTGTGTGAAACACTACCAGCTTGCTATGGATTTTATAATAGAGGGCTTAGATAATAGAAATAATCCCAAAATCAGCTAAATCCAGATCTTTATTGGACTTTCAAGATGCTTTCAGAATCTGAATCAAAATCTAACACTGCCATTTTAAACAACAAGAATATCTGAATGGGAAAACATTTTGTAATGCTTGCTTTCAATCCCACGCTATATTTGGAGCATGTGTTGCATACATTAACATTCTAAGGTGAGCTCATTAAAAACCTAAATGCACACTACACACTTCATCAGCATGACACTGACATTGATATAAAAGGAAAAAAAAATTTCTGTCAAACAATGTTAAGATGGATATATTCCAGCAAAATGTGCATGGAAGGGACCCTGCACATTTTCACACAGGCATTGAATGTACGCCTACATTTTAGTTCCCTAGCGACCCAGCCTTCCTGAAGAGTCGGATTCATTTTCCCTAACTTAAAATATTTAAAAGTCTAGAAACCTATGCCAATTCCTCCCAGCTCCTCTGTTGTAAGATGCAACAGGCAGCTCCAGCCAGCACTACACAAGCAGGTGCAGCCAGCCAGCCTCAGGGAGGTGCAGCCAGAGGTGGTTTCAGCAGCACCCGACTACTGGATAGAGAAGAAAACAACAGAGCACGGCATCATCCCAAGGTATCACCTCATGTTACAGGAATGTTCCTGGGAGAACACTCCCCATTACAGCCCAGGGTAGAAATTAAGTCTTTTCTTCACAACACAGCTACTGGCTTGCAAATGCTCCCATACAACCCAAATCCTTAGGTGAGTATATTAAAAGTGAATCTACTTAACAGGTTAACTGGGCTGGAGAACACACAAACCTTTTGAGTTTGAGTGTGTTCCTGGAAACTACTACTGGTCTTAATTTTTTTTTCCTCACCATCCCAACAAGACTCTTCAGATCTCTCTCTTGTCAGAAGAGTAATGTGACTTTGTACACTGAACTTTAACACTTTTATAGGTCATCTCTAAAGCAGTGCTCCACAGACCTGGTGCTATGGCCCTGATGACTAGTCAGCTATATCAATCTCTCTGTCAATGATTTACAAACACATCAAATGGAACTTGCATTCCTTTACTTGGAGGTTGGTAAATTACATAATACAACTGAGATTTTTTTTTTTTTTAACTTTTAAAAATATCTTTTAAATGCCCCCCTCCCATATTACTCACTTGTAGGAGGAAAGATTTATAATCTTTTAACTAATGAAAGGAGAAAAACAAATGGACCTAGTACATGCTATTCTCATTTGCCTTGCTTAAACAGATACTAAGAACTTGTATCAAATCTGTCAGTTTTCACTGATTAAAACAGAAATTCCTCTGCCTGTTTTTGCTACAACACAGGAAAAAAAAAAAGATTATTATCTCATTGTCTTTTTCCTTGTGCAGCAATCACAGTTTCAAATAATTATGATAAATTCATTAAAATGTTCAAGTGGCATTAAGGCAATGTATTTCTTTTCCACAAGTGATTAGGAAGAAGAATGTTTGGAAGCAAATGAACTTTAAAAAAGTTGTTATGGGAAGCTATTTCATAAATCAGCATCCAAGGTCTTATGACCTTCACCCAAGCAACTGGCACAATTAAGTTTTACAGCAGGATCAGGAATGCAAATATGTCAAGGGTTATGAACTGAATCATCAGATAGTACAGCAAGGTATTTAGTAATTTAAAATTAAAGCTATTGTTGGTGAAACATGCAATCAGTTGGAGGAAACAGCACTTAAGATACATATTTCAAAAAGAACACTGAAGGATCCAGCCCCTTTTCCAACAAGCACATGCACAAAGAGATGGTGATTTACTTCAAAATTAATGAACATTAATTAGATTAAAGTAAATAGCTAACAAAAAAAAAATCCAAGTCACAACAGATGGAAAAAAGGATAGTGTGATATTGATGTATATGGCCAGCCTTTGAAAAGCTGACCTTTATTTTCCACCACCAGTTTAAAAGTGCAAATGAATGCTACAGCAGCTCAGATAATTCATCTAACTGGCACACCTGATTATATGAACAGTGTGCTAATTTGGAGAATAGTAAAAACTTTGCAACATTAAATATATGTAAAATAACTATTCTGAATTAGAATGATAAATAAAATTAAGCACGTGACAAAATGGATAGGGGAAAATTCAGCGAAATAATATTTTTTTCTTCCCCAAATACTCTTTTTCCCCTAAATTAAATCAAAGGAAATAGCAAGTCTCTGAGATGTCTTCTTACTACCAGAAAAATGCTTGCATTAGATGTACTTTTAGTTTTTTTCTTTTTTATTCTGCTGTGGCATTCAGTTAAACCAAGTAATCACATTATTTCCACACTTACCATGGATTTTGAATCCTTAGGCTCTGTCAGAGTCGCAGTTTCTGCAGAAGATGCAAGTGAAAGAGAATCAGGAGGAATGCCATATTCTGGCTTAGGAATACTACTTCCAGCATCTTGGTCTTGGGACTTTAAAGGTAATGCCAAACTGGGAGGAGGTGTTGACTGAACACCTTTTTCCTCCTCTTCCTCCTCACCTCTGCTTCTGAATGCACCAGTGGAGAGAGGGTGTGCAGAGTCTGGTTGTGAAAAGCTGGTGAACAAAGTTTGAGTTCTTTTAGCTTTTTCTATTTCTCCATTGTATTTCTGAGCATCATCCATCTAGGAGAAAAATGACAGCTTGGTAAAGAAGTGCTTTAAAATAGAAATCCTTGAATCTTTCAGTGATTTTTATATTTAACAAAACCACCTCTGTCTTTGAAACAAATTCTGGCTCCTGCGCCCATTTTTAACAACCTACTTAGAATTTTTTTTTTTTCTCTTGAAATGCTTTTATCTTGAAATAGTCCTGAATTAAGATAAACTTGTTAAAGTAATCTGCTTAGAATTATTTATATTCTTGCCACTTAATTAAAACAAATAAGGATATAAGAGAAAACTATGAAAATCATCATAGTAATGGGGCAGGGAATTAATTTCATTGTTTCAGTGCTTTAGAGTGCAGACAAAATTTAGCCTAGCATAAAATTTCAACAAAGTCAGCAGAGCAGAGGAAACTTCTATCACCTGAAAAATTTATCTTTAACAATTAATTATGTTAACCTGGCTCCAGATAATTACCTCCAATGACATTTTTTTGATAAAGCACACAAAGGAGACTTACTACAAGTAATAAAAAGAATATTTTACCAAATATAGCTACCAGCTTTAATTCTAGGAGTGTGTTTAAGCACAGAAATACAAGTAAACATCTAAAGGCATGACAGAACTTCCTGCTCTATTAACACAGCCTTCATCACACAGGAGGCACTTTATAAACAAAATCAAAACATTAAAACTACTGTTCCCCCAGCTATTGAAGACCCCAAATTTACAAACTTCAGGAATGAAGCAGAATTTTACCGTGAACGACCGTGGAAGTGACGAGATTCCTCTTGAGTGGACACCAAAAGGTCTTGGTGTAACCACAGATGTTAACCTGGAGGTATCGGTTTTCTGGTAAGTTCTCGGGAGAGAAGCTGAAACCTGAGCTGACCCAGTTTGAGCATTCACTGAGTAACGAGTGGACAAAAGCGCCGGGCTCTGCTCCCGCTCCAGGCTCTCTGGAGGAGCAGGAGCTTCTCGAGCAGCCGAGCTCTCCGGCAGGTTCTCCTTGGGAGGCTGGGTGGTGTACACACTTTTACTGTCCTTAGTGCTGTGGGAAGCATCTTCTTCCAAACGGTGATCTTTGGCTGCTGACCAATCTTCTGCTGCTGTGGAAGGTGCTTTGTCTTCACTGAACACATCATCGTTCAGTGAGGACGCCCAGTTGTGCTCCTGTTTCTGCTGCTCATAGGACTCCTGATCTCTGTCCTCCCTAAGGGAATAGAGCCTGTTAAAATACCAAAGTGACCCGACAAACAGGCAGGCCTAAAGTCTTGCAACTAGTAGATGTTTAAGGCTGAGCATAAGCCAAATAATGCCTCTCCAGTAAATAAAAATTATTAGCATAATTTAAATACATTAATATTTTCATATATTTTTTAATCTATCTTCTTCCACCTTCTCCCCAGTTCAGCACCCTCATAGCACTCAGACATAATACTATCAGGCTGCCACCATGACAGAAATCTTTGCCAATAAAATGATCTAGCTGCACATCTGTAAATGATACAGATATACATCCTCAGAAATTAAGATTTATTTAGGAAAGAACAGGAATAAGATAGTCCCATAACACTGCCTGAACTGTGTAACTGTGCTCAATGTTTCTGAAATGCTATGCTGAATTTTAGATACCTAAATAAGACAGTGCCCTGAAATTCAGCTAATTATTATTTTTTTTGCTACTCATTCCTTTGTCATAAATGAACAACCACTACAAGGATATCCTTTAAAATATAAGTTATAGGATTCTTATTGATACAGAATATTCAATACAATTACCATCCATACTTTTATTCAGGCAACTAATTTTTGTCCTCACAAATAAGTAAGAAATTGAAGAAATCCAAAAGATTAGACTTTTTTATGAATACATGTCATGTATATATTATCTTCAGCTGAGTCATATGTGCATTTGAAATAAATAAATAGATAGATAAATAAGACTGTCGCCACTAGAGATGGTACTGTGCAGTTTACACTTTTTGCTCTTCAGAAAGTAAATATCAAGAGGAAAAATTAGGGATGAAGGGGAAATCAAGTAAAAGTTTAGCTCTGTGACATAAATTAAAATTCTGGCTGCAGTTCTCAACAATGGCTAAAAAAATAGCAAATGTAGTGGAAGAAGGAAGATAAATAGTTAACTTATCCATGAGTAAAAAAAGACAGCTATCCAGTTCAGTGCTATTGTTTTAACTAATTTAAAGAAAATGCAAGTATTGATTTCTCAATACTTTTATTTAGGGATAGCAAAGTAAAATATCATTTATAGAGAAAACTGCTTAACATTCTGTGCAAACAGCACATTAGAAAACCATACTCAGCCCTTCAATTGCCTAGATTGCCACATTTTATTTTGCAACTAAAATTGTCAAGATCTCTGCAGAATCAATTGCAACTTGTTGGTAATAGCGGCTCAAAAATTTAAAGGAATAAAAATGCTCAGATTTATGTTCTTACACGTAATATTCCCATTAGGACTATTACCTCTCCTGCTGCATTTCCTTCAGTGACTTGGTACTCCTTCCAGACACCTCAGAGGCTCTCCTTTCAATTTCTTCTCTCTCTTCCTTTTTCTTTTGCAATTCTGAAGTGTAACTCTTTCTACGACTCTTCCATTTTGCTAGATCCTGTTTAGCATAACACAAATATAAGCCATCAGATTTTCTCAAGGCCTCATAGACTTACAGAGGCATCCCATTACATGCTATTTATTGGCCTGATTTTATTTGCATGTCTGCATCACAGCCACATTTTCATGTACCTTTCCCCTAAATTATAAAGGGGTTGTCATGTTCTATTTAGGGTTGCAGGCTCACTGCCTCCTTAAGTTAACAATTGCAATTACTGGACTATATGCTATTTAGCCCATTTTTTCTCCTCTTAACATCTTCAATTTTATTCTAAAATACATCACCAATCACACATAATTGAAAACTAATGCAAATGCAATCTGAATTTCTTTGTTGAGGGCTTTAGAGTTTAGGATATCATTATTTTTCCAAATCACTACTATGTTAGACTGATTCACTAGCTTGAGAATAAACATGCCTTAAATTCTAAACTGAAAACAGATATTTCTGTACTTTCTTCATTTCTGTAAAACCGCAATGTGAACTGGCAATATTGTCCATGAAATACCAGAGCTGAGTAAAGGGGAAGTACTGAATATTAGAACTGAGATGCATTAAACAAACAACTGTGAACTTCTTGCTTGGTGTTTGTTCTTAATTTTGGCTTCTTGTTGATACTCATTGTTAAACAGAGATTTTAATAAATTGAAAAGTCTTTAGAAATGCTTATGATGCTGTGCAAAACTACCATGCAGTTTACAAGCTGGATTTAAGACAGCATTATTAGTGGATAGGAGCCTCAAGTATTTGCACAAGGAAGTATTATTTATTCCCCTTTCTCCCAGAGGATCAAATACTCAGACATTCCAATCATTTCTCCAAAAAAGTATTCAAAAATTGCAGATAACACAAGAAACTATGCCCTAACTTCTCTTTACATCCACAGAAATCAAGCCTGAAGGCTTTATTACAATACATACAAGTTCTATCCTGAAGCATTAATCAGAAACTTAGGAGGATATTTAAAATAATTTCAGTTCTGCATTAAACAGGCATCCCCAAAAACTCTAATAGCTGTATGAGATGAATTGTTTTAGAAGACAGCCCCATGAACTGCTGCACGCATGCCTAAGTTTTTTTACTAGGGACACTGAAGGCAGGTGACATCCACTCCTTCAAGCAGGATGCACAAGGAGAGGTGAGGAGGAGTCCTTACTTCTTGCCACTTTAGATCTTGCTCTTGTAACTGTTCTTTTATCTTCTGCAGCTCTTCATAACGGATTTTGCGCAGTGTCTGCAGCTCCTCTGCACTGACATCATTCAAAGATTTACTCCTAGAAAGGGAAAAGAGAACTCAGCTTTATAACATCATAGCCCTCATTTACAGGGGTGAAACCTTCAGATGGAGAAAAAGACTTATATTAGTACAACTGAATGCTCATGAGTGTTATTTTGAATGGAGCAGGAAGCACATGGGCAGCCAATGGGATGTGCTGTAGGGCGAACACAAGTCATTAGTTGGGTATTTGAGCAAATAAAATCAGGTTAAGGGAATAAGCAGCTCTGTACATCTCCATGCTGATCATTCACATTGAGCTCCTCCTAGAACACTGCTACTTCTGTTTTAACTTGCTATTTTCTTTATTGATCTTGTTTCTTTCTTTGACCCAAAAGGCATCCCCTCTCCCCAAATCCAAACTCCCACCTTGGACTTCTCTCCTGTAACACCCTCTGTATCACCTCCTGTCCTTTCCTTCCTTCCAAATCAGTTATTGATGCCCATTTCCAGAAGATTAAGAGTCAGACACGGCCCAATGCTCAGTTCATGGACATCACAGGCCCCACTAGCTTATGCTGATCCTCCCCAACCTCTGAGATGCTTTCCATTAAAGTTGGGATGGCTAACACAGCCATCTTCCTGCTAACTTCAACATGGCTACAGTTTCCCCCAGGAACGCCTACTTGCTAGTTCCCTTTAACCTAATTTCCTCAAAGCTCACCTTTCATTCTCTCCCCTACCACATGCTATTTTTTCCTTTATTCTTTCTTACTGCAGTGATAAACATAACAGGACATTCAGTTTAGATATAGGACAAGGCTCCTGATGAGATTTGACCACAAGCCTATGAGACAGTAAGCAAAATGCAGGTGTTTCATCATAAGGTTCAACAGTGTAATGCAAAGGGAAAGCTAGGTCTCTAGGACTTGGGGTTTTTTTTGTTTCTTAGTATTCAAAAGTACCTTTTTTTCATTTATCCAAAGTATGAGTTATATAGAGGGATGCAGTTAAGTTCCAGTAGGACTTAAAAATGTAGCACTTCTCTTACATGATGGAAAACAAGATTAAAACCAAAATAGATTCAGCACAGAGCCTTACTCTAATCTGTTGCATTCCAAGAGATCTCTGAACTAACAAACCAGACTCTCACTTCCTCCCAAGTGGCTGAACTCACTTTCATTGGTAACATGAGACTGGCCTCTGGCCTCTAGAAATAAAGGCTTGGGCATTAACTCCTCATATCTGTTCTCTTATCTATTTTCTGAATGAGAAGAGTGCCAAATTCAGCAAGAATCACCTGGTTGCTATTGCAGAAACTCCTGTACAGTTCTTTTCCTCATTTTTTATGCTTAAGTTCTATCACACGTAGAACTGTTTTAGGGTAATCAAATACTATATAAGGCTGTATCAAATTTGTTTCAGATGAGTTCAAGAAAACTAACATAGCTACATTTACTGTATCTGCCTGCAACAAAACAGGAACATCTCAACTTAAAGAAAATATAACCTAAGAAAAGCTATATTCATACCATGGAACTGGGTCTTAGTTTAAATTTCAGTCTAAACTGAAAAACCTAACTAGTGATTTGAGTCTTCTGAGTCTCCCTCTCCTAACACCTAATTTTGAAACACTTTGCACTTCTGGAAGTGTTCAGTAATTTACCAAATTTGCCTCACAGTAAAAATAGGGAAGCAAATATATAAAAAAATAAATTTTAATTTTAAAAAATCAGTAGAACAGCATGCATTCCAAAATACTTAACATGCCATCACAAAATAAGTGGAAAAATTATTTCTCTTTGAGTCACAGTTTCTCTTGAGTCACAGATTATAAACAACATCTAAGTTCCCATTACACAAATCTATAAGTCTACCACGGAGCATTCAATAACCTGGAAGATAGAAAATAACCCCAGACCATTCACCAATCCCATGATAAATACTACTGCTGTTAATTATTTTCAGATTCTAGCTGTACCGTCTTCAAAATAAAATATTTGTTAATATTCCTTTACATTTTTTGAATATTTTAAAGCCTAAATGAAATAGAGAACAACAAATTTTTCACTTCAGCAGGAATAAAACATTAGAGCTGATTTTCAAAGTGACTGATAACCATAAGTTTAATACATGAGACAGCAGAGAGAACTTTTGCCATATACATGGCTTTTATCTCACATTCATTACATAAATTGCAAAGAACAGAACAACAAAGCGTCATGCACAAGTTTTCAGCATGAGTTTTTAGCTACTGTTCATGCATAAAGATGAGAAGAGGCCAAAAAAATAGCATTCCAATCTTTCAAGTTTTTATAAAACTTACCCTTGCTCATCAGAAAGCTTTTGAAACAGTCTGAGAAATCAGAAACCAAAAAAAAAAGAGATTCAGTGTCTAGATATTGATAACAACATTAACACCATTAGTAGACCAGCACTCTCACTAAGTGATGGGGAAACTGAAAGCTTGGGAACCAGCCAGCATGGAAAAGCACATCAGGAATTGGACACCAGTCAAAAAACACACCAGGACTTGCATGATGGGCAAAGTTGGGCAGAACTGTCAGAACAAGGCTGCCTGCAAGTTTCCAACACTTTTCATTTAGCAATGCTGCACAAATAGAGCCTTGTGTTATTTCTGCACCACTTACTCATTCCAGTGCTGCTGAACAGCATGATGCTCAAAAGAGACTTATTTCAAGAAAATAAAATTAATGCCAGCTTGAGTCCCAACAAAAGTGAGGCTTACAGAGGTTGTTCTCTTGTTACTTCAACTACTTCTGATACTAACTGAAAGTCATACTTGATGTGTATCAGAATAAAAGACCCTAATAGAAATTTAGCATATTAATCCCTGAACGCACTTAATGCAGGGCAATTCAAGAGGATTTTTAGTGTTCTTGAATATGAGTATTTTATAATATACCTATTTAATTCTACTGAAATAATTTTTAAAACATGCAATATTTCCAAGCACTTTAGAAATATTTCTCAGTGAAGCTTGAAAATTGTTAACAGCATTAAGCTTAAAAATTAAATGCAGCAACATCAAAATATCAACTGGAACACAGAAGTGTCTTAGTCACAAAATAATGATGCACAGCTGGGAGATCTGCAACTTGCAATGCCGTATTTTCAGAGCTAAGTAAACATTTAGAACCCCACTCTCCCCCAGTAAATACAAATTCAAAGGAGAGATAGGAAGTACTTAAGAAACAGTATTCAGTCAGACAAGAGAAATTTTGAGGCTAACAGGAAAGAATTAGGGGAAAGAATGAATCAAGACTGTATGAAAGTAGGAGAATAGTACTGGCAGAATAAGGTATGCCATGGTGGACTTAATATTACATAGACACACAACTTGCATGCACCATGACTCTGGGCAGGTAAAACACTTGTTTTTTGGGTTTTTTTTTTACTTCATCTAATCATCTCAGAACTGTGGTAGGACAGTTTACAAGCATTTTTGAACTTAGGTGCAAGCAAGAATATCAGAGTGCCCATTTCCAGAATTTGTCTTTAAGGCATTCATGTGTTTCAGAAATGTTTTTATGTATTATCTTGCAGAATAGAAGAAAATATTTCTAGCCTCCATAGTCTTTTGAATAATCACTATTCCTGTTCAACCATGGAAAGAAACTTATGCAGAAGTTTCTTATGGAGCCTGAGGGAATGATAGCATATTTTCTCCAAAATGGCAGCCTAAAACTAGAAAACTTTATAATCTTTTGTTGAAAATATGGTATTGCAGTCATGAGCTTCTATTCAAAGCAAATGAAAAGCTTGTTCGAGGACGACACGAACAAATAGACTGGCACTCTACGAATGGTTCAGCACAGGATGATGCTTTTCTGAATGGGAAGGGTTCAAGTGCACTCATTCTGTGCAGGACACAACCTGACCTCTCCACCATCTGCCGTTTCTTGTGTCTAACTTTGCTGGCCTCCCTGATTGCTTCCCACTTCTTCCAGTCTTCTTCACTGCATGGACCTGGGATAAAATTTACTGGCTGGACGTTGCTTCCCACTTTCCAAGATTCAATCTTGCGGGTCAGCATATCGTCCTTCTTATGGTGTAAAGATGGTGACAGCACTCTGCCATTGCTCTTCCTTTCCTCTGGTATCGCATTTTTTTCAAGTAAACATAGAAATTTGGACCGTATCTCTTCTGGAAGACTCCATGGATCAGGAAACAGTGCTGGGTGATACTTGTCGGGAGCACCTGATAAAGGCACCTCTTTTTTTTGAGAGAGGACTTTACGAAAAATCATGTCATCCTTTTCCAAATCTGGAAGCACGGTTTGGCCCTCTCTGGGTTGCAGAATTATCTCACCCTCTAGAGGAGGCTCCTGCTCAGAGAATTTCTTTAAATACCGGGGGTCTTGAAGAACAACTTGATTCACATGGAAAGCCCCAGTTTTCCGAACAAACAAGTCATCATTTTCCAAATCTGGATATAGATATCCATTCTCCTCATCTCCTTGCTTGCCTCCTGGTATAAAGGAAACATTCTTTCTACATTTTATGAGCCTAGGGCCAGAAGTGGGATCAATTCTGGTCTCCATTTCAGAAGACACGTAGTCAGTGTATTTTTGCAGGGCCTGAAGTAACGAAAACTGACTGAAGCATATAAAACAAAAGGAGGGAAGTAAAAATATCATTAACTAGCAAGAGACAAGCAGATCACAACGTATTGCAATATACATTTGGTTTAGACTTGCAGTATCCCAAGCAGAATGACGACACCACTTGGCATTCACCACCACTGACTGTAGCGCAGCACACGCCAACCTATGCAAAGGTATCCCGGCATCCTAACCTGCTCAGAAACATCACACTTACATGCTCACACACAAAGCCAGTAACCCTATGCAGCATGTTACACTTTCACATTTACATGTTTCAGAAGGCCAGCAACTTATGGCTACATTAAAAGAGAAAAAAACCCCAAACCCAACAAACCAGCACAATAGTAATAACCAAAAAAGCATGGCATCATGGGACACGGTTTAATTTCATTTAGCTGTTGCATATCCAGCCATCTCTTTTTGATGCACCAAGAGAATAGCTCATGCAGCAGTATCAACCTGGGCTGATCAGGAGACTCCAAGATTTTTCCTTCTGCAATCTGTGACAATGAGCTTCCCACATATTCAGCAGTTGGCTTATAATTCTGATCCCTTCTGCAGCTACTGTTCCAGTCAAAACTTGGTCTTGGTTGATTAGCAACAATAGTATAGCTTTGTTTGTAAGCAAATTCCTCATCCTCAGAATCTGATCTCTTTCTACTGTGCAGCAGCAGAAAGAATGAGCAGAGGAGAAAGAAAAAAAAAAACATGAAATGTATACTCACTGAGTAAAATGCACAGTGGCAACAGTGCAACAGGTGCAACAGTATAACAAAAATAATACTTCAATTATTTTTAAAAAAGGAAAAAAAAGAAAAAATAAAACATATCCTGTTGCTACACTGGCAGTCAAAATTTAAAAATTCTGAGTCATAGAACTACACTTTATTTAAGCTTTGCACACAGGAGAGAAACAGGCATGCAAGAAAACGCACCTGAACCCTTGAATCTCTTTATACCAGGGTTTGAAAGAGGATTTCTTGATTTTTTTCCATAGCAATTCTTCCTCTGGAGTCCAAAACTTAGGAAGAAATTTGTCAAAAGCAACAACTGTATTTGGCGCTGAAGAACTTAGCTTGCGAAAATAGAGATCATCTTTTTCAATGTTTGGAATGCCTACTTCTTCCTCGTCCTCATCACAATACCCAGATAATTGTGAAGGACTGTTAACTCTTGGTTTGTTTTCGCCTTTAGTATCCAATTGCCTCTGCCTCCTCTGGTTACTGTTCAAAATATCCAATCAGTTAAGATATTTTAGGAGCAACTTGACATAAGCAATGCAAAAAGACATGCTTTTTGGCTCAGGAGCTCAGCCTTGTGAATGAAGCATATTAGTTCTCAATTTCAGCACTGCAGCACCAGAAACAACAAAATAGATTAAATAAAAAAAATTTTTAAAAGAAGTTAAATGGTTATATCAGCATCCTGTCTCCACTGAGAAAACCACAAAATTTGACAGAAAAAGCATATCAAATTATCAGCTGTGTTAAAATGCCAATTAGAAGACTAACTTTATGGAGTTATTTAAGGGCTGCAATTTAGGTAATGCAATAGTTACTGGATCTTGGATTAGTATCTCTGACCTCAGTGGTTCAAGCATTGCAGCTAGTGGACCAGCTGGACAACTTTCTCGCGAGCAAGATTTAGGAGAGTCATTGTGCAACATGAAATGATGTCCAGGTGCAGCAGAGCTTACAGGGCTCTTTTTGACTAGAAATCTACGATTTGCTAAGTCATCCAAAACAACGTCGGGCAGCCTTCTTTCATCTTCTGAATCAGAGCCACTGTCATACTCATAGATGATCTGGAGGGAAGCTGGATTTCTGAGCCCACACTCTGCTCTGCTATTTTGGCAGGAAGCTACAGGATTCGTTTCACGTCCACTGAGGTTGACCGAGACAGGAATAGAACGGAGACAGTGAAGGCACGAAGGCAATGGTGAAACTCAAGAACTGCCCACTAATCTCATCTGTATGCATCAAGAAGCCGGACAGCTGAAATTCATCACTATATTTTGGAGCTTTAACAAGCAGTCAAAACTGTAGGTCTATCCCTCACGAACTTGCATTTAAGACTTTAAGACCATTTAAATACATCTGGAGTCTGGCCAGCTTCAAAACATTACTCAAACATCAAGAAACAATGTAAAAAACCAAAACCAAAAACCAAACCACACAACCACACCAAAATGTCTCCTTTGATAAAACATGGAAAATCAAATACTTTACTTTTTATTGCAGCAAGAGCAGCTTTTCTTAAGCTAATAAAGAAGTAACTTATTTTAAAACTTCTACATCAAAGCCCACTTCACTGAGAACATACACCAGTACCTTGAAAATGCTCCATCTGACTCGGTGAAAACAGGACTTGCCCAGCTCCTCCTGTTGTCCTCATTCTTCTCTGTCCTCTTCTTCCTTAAAGGTGCTGGCACATATGCTGTCTGCTTGTTTTTGTTGGGTAAGAAACGGTTGAAGTCAGTGGTAGTTTTTGGCTCAATCACCGAAATCCTGCGGTAAAACCTGTCATCTTTATGGGAGTCATGCATTTTGGAAGGCAGTTCTGAGTCTATGTCACTGTCGCAACCTTAGAAGAAAGTGGAAATAAAAAGGAAAGATACAAACATCATTCTCTAGACATGTGCTTGTAACTAAAACTTGGATCAAAGTCTTCTAAAATCAATTTATCTCTGTATTTTAGATGTTTCAGCTGAAAATTTGCTGATCTACTGACAGGACAGTAGGAGAAGTATTTTTAGAAGTCTGTGGCAAAGCCGTGATAAGATCCATTAAACTCAATTTGGTTTGCATGATCCTCCTGCATTTGTTCCATTCTTTCATTATCACTGCTCCCTGCAGGAAACAAAGTGCTGGCCTCCAGACTAAAGACAAAAAACAGCACAGAAATTTTTAAATTAAATAGTATCCGCAAGATAAATTTACTAACAAAGACAAATAAATAGCAAATAATACAGCATTGTGCTCATTTCACCAGATTAAAATCCAGTAGAAGCCCAGGGTACATCGTGTATGTAATGTAGCTAAATGTTGCCTTGCACAGATCACCAATGCTCCATGGAGCCTCTGCTCAATGATTTTGTTACTCACATGAAACAAAACCCAACACCTTATAATTTGTGTGACTTTAGGCTACAAGTTGGCATTGAACTTTAAAACCAGCAGAGAAACACAGGCTAGAGTGCTGCTTTAGGGATCCACTGTCACTATCTTCTTGTTACCTTTATTTTCATGAAAAACTATTAAAAGTAACAAATACTATTCAGTATTTAACCTAGGTGGGAAAAACCTTATTGAATATTCACAAATGAAGTTAAGACATAGCAGTTTGACACAGTCACCCTAAGAACACGGCAAGCGACTTGTGCAGCTGGTGAATTTTAGGTAATCCCATCCAGATCTAATTTCTAGCAATTTCCCTTACAGAACTCTGGGAAAATACCCTGGACACACACCCCCTAATGTGTCAGTGAGAGCAAGAGTTTCAGCAACCCCTCCTAGGAAGAACTGTGCGAGCAATGCTTTTTTCCTACCAACTGTTAGAAGTGAATATTTGCTTAAGCAAAATGCAACTGCAGCAGTTAAACAACTAGAACTGACTTTAAGTACTGGGCATCCGAGTACCAGGTCCATACATTGTCTTATCCAAGACTCATAAGATACATGTCAACAAAATATTTTTGAGAGGAAAACATACCTTCACTGCCACCTTTCAAGGTTATATCTGATGAAAAGCTCGTGCAGGACCTTGAACCAAGAGAGTCCAAGCTATCAAAGGAATCGTCTCTTTTATGAGTAACTGAAGATGGGAAAGGCTCTCCACGGTCAACGTACCAAATATCGCCGTACCCACTATCTCTGCCACTTCTGCTTGGCTGGCTGGACTCTTCGAGTGCCTACAAGAGTCACTTTTAAAAGGTCTTTTCCAATAATTTAGGGTGCAAATGCTACTCATGAGCATTTTGAATTCACAAACAAACTTCAGCAAAGACTAATGCAAAACCTTAAAACACATACACAACAGCACATATAACAGCTTGAAGAGGAGACTTGGCAAAAGGTCTTAAATTTCTTTCATCTCAGTCAAAGAGGATTGAGATAGGGCTCTTCCCAATCTACCACATCAATTAGAGCAGATGCATTCTGAAATTCATATGGGTTGCAGAAGAACTAAGCAAAAAATCATTCCTTTCCTATGGAACTTGATAGCAAGCAAAACAAATTACTCTGCTCTCCAAACTAAGAAAATGAAACCCTCAAGAGACTGTTTAGAATTGCTGCTGTATAACAAAATATAAACTTCAGTCTATTCATTCAGTTTCCTTTTTTGGATTCCTTACCTTACTCAATGCTTGCCCTAATAACTTCTCAAATGCTTTAAGATTGAGGTATGGACCATTATAATCAGGGTCACTTTGAGCTTTCCTCCCAAGCCAGTATAATGTAATCAAAACCTAAAAACAAACAGAAAAAAAAATCCTTGAATACAAACTTAATTACTTTCCTCTCATGCCATGTGCCAGTGTAAAAGAACCTCAGCATGCTGTTAGAGATGTTTCTACAATGCACTGCAAAATCTTGTACACAATAGTAGCCATGATTGCCACCAAAACCAATTAAAGAGTGTCATGATGCATCTCATATATCTCAAGCAAGCAGATACAAGTACTGTTTTCGATTTTTACAATGATTTGGGAAAGTAAGCTGCACATAGAGATCATTGTAAAGTGGCATTAATTTGCATCATATAAATCAACAATTGAAAAGAAAGGTAAATAGGATAGTACCATAAACAGAAGCATTTAAAAATAATTAATCACAATTAATGTGCAACTCTCTTACATTTTTCACTCTTCTGTTGGTCTCCTCTGGTCTGAAGCAGGGCAGAGAATGAGAAAAAGAGAAGAAAACAAAATGGTTTAAAATTGCTGGCTTAAAATTAAATTATTATTCAAGGCATAAAAAGTTTCAAGACCAATTATCAGTCAATATAAAATATGCAACTATGACTGCTCCAAAAGAAATAAGAAGCATTCCACTTTAAATACAGTCATAACTCTGTACTATTTCAATTGTTACATGTAAAATGAGAAGCTAGCCAATCTATTACAGTTTCTGTTCTGAGAGGTACACAGGAAGGTTCTAGGCATTTTTAATTAGCTCTCCTTTAGTTACCAACAAAATAGAAGTAGAAAACAAGCTGTTGACTTTGGGAAATATAGCCTCTATTAGCCAGGGAGATCACAGATTCATAGAATGGTTTGGGTTGGAAGGGCCCTTAAAGATCACCCACTTCCAATCCCTCTGACATGGGCAGGGATACCTTTCACTAGACCACACTGCTGAAAGCCCCATCCAGCCTGGCTTTGGAACCCTTAGAGGGATGGGGCATCCACCACTTGGTCTGGACAATCCATGCCAGTGCCTCCCCACCCTCAGAGTAGAGAATTTCTTCCCATTAGCCAATATAAACTGACCCTCTCAGTTCAGTCATTCCCCCTTGGTCCTATCACTACATATCCCTGTAAAAAGTCCCTCTCAAGGTTTCCTTAGGCAAAATTTAGCTGCTGGAAGGCTGCTACAAGGTCTCCCTTGAGCCTTCTCTTTTCCAGCCCGAATGCCCTCAGATTGTCAATTCCATATGAAAGGAGATTCAATTGTAACTTTTCCCCCAATTGTATTGTTTTCTAAACTATTTGCCTTAGACAACAGAAAACACTTTAGCCAAGAGTAAACTTTTCAGACCAAGAAATGAGAAACTGAAACTGGGACATCTGGCGAGAGATGATGTAGGGCTGAAAAGATGGGTTTGGGTTCTTTTATACAAATACATGTTTTTCAAAAAATATTAAATACATATGCAATCACTAAGATTAGGGAACATTTATATATATATTCCCAGTCTGTAGCACACCTTGGAAGAGTACCAATGGACACTCCTGTTCTCCTGTCACTCATTTTAAGAGCAAAAAGAAGAAACTTCTCAAATGGAAGGCTCCAAAAGCCTCTTAGTCCCCATGTGTAAATACTCAGGGCTGGACTGCAGACAGTGGTTGAACAACATTGCTGCATGCAGTGACAGCAGTTATGGAAGAGCAAATGGCTTAAATACACCCAAACAACTCTTCACCTACCCCAGATGTTGGTTTGGAGCTGGTTCAGCTACAAACTTTGCACACAGCACAGCAAAGGGGCTCAAACAGAAAAGCAGAGTCTTCACATACAGTAGCAGAAAAACCTATTCAGAACTCCTTAACATGCCAGACCAATAATGTGTCAAGGTACTTATCCCATTTCTGTCTGTCTAGAAACACACTAGCCAAAGGTTACAGGAAAAAAAGGAGAATAAACCATTAAGGAAACTGTTAGGAGTTAGTGTAATGAGGACAGGGCTTGGTCACTCTTCACGGAAATGGAATAGTCAATGAGACGTGACAACCATCAGGGACACAGACCGTCCCTTCCCTCCTCCTCCTTCTTCCTATTTTGAGAGCACCCGCTCCCACTCAGTGGCTCTAATTGCCTTGCCCATCCCCAGATCATAAAGAAATCAGGCTATCAGGAACACAAAGTCCTGAGCTGGGTCTGACCTCCACAGTCCTTGCCTGAAGCTTCCTTAGTATCTCATGCCAGAGATGCTTGTGGCTTTGTAGCCAGGGACCTCTTTCACACCGATAAGGAAGAACCCTCCTCCTTTAATGTGAAATATTTACACTTTTTTTGTTTGTTCTTTAATCCCTTCCAAAATCCATTGCTATTCGTTGTTCACTCAAGACTATTTTTGAAGTTAAAATAAATTCCCTTTTTTTTTTCCAATAAGCTAAATTTTTTGCCAGTATCCATGCTGCAGGGCACACCATAGATGTGACCTAATGTGCTACCAGAGACACGTTGATTTCCAAAGCAGAGTATGAAAAACTTTTCTTACATCAACATTACACTTCTCATACTCAGTAGAGAGCATTTTAAAGGTTAGCATTCTTTACCCTCAGTGCCTTTTGTTACTAGAATTTCTGCTTTTGTTTGCAATTACAAAAGCAGAGACCCTTGCTAAGGATGCCCCAAAGTTTGCTCCCAAACTTGAGCAGCCCAGTGAGGAGTGGAAAACTCTGCCCTTAGGTGGCAGGAGCATGTATCCAAAAGCCTGCCAGCCTTCAAGTAGACCAAAGCTACAAGACTGAACACAATGATATCCACTTCTGCTTTCCTTGAGTTCTCTGCGATAATTTCAGTCAACCATTGTTCAACAGGAACAATATTCAGTTGTCTTTATATTTCAATCAAATTTTCTTACTGAAATAACTATAAATACACTAGGCCTGTGTATTTGGACTAAAACCAAAACAAAACTTAGGTCATTCAGGTAAACAAGACAGCCTGAGACCAAAAATGCAGGCAGGGAGATATTTCACGGACTCGAGTGAGAGACCCTGCTTCATTCATGTTTACTCTGCTAACAACAGAAGCAAGCAAACCAGTTGTTTACTCTTCATTCATAAAGTTTCTTCATTTGCACTACTATTGTCCTTCTCTGCATCTATTGGTTTTGAAACCTTTTCAACAACTTGTCACAGTAGACACAGTCTGAGCAGAAGAGAAGAGGAAAAAATCCAAGAAAAACCCTGCTGATCTAGAACACTGTTCTTCATTTTTACATGTGTGTATTAATTATTTGATGGTGCTTAACCAAGGAAAAGGATGATTCTGAGTGATGAATGTACTGTCCTATAATCTGTGTTAAATGACAGGTATATAATTTTTTTTTTTGTTAAAAAAATCCTGATTAAAGAAGCAAGGCTGTTACCTAACTGGAAAGTCTTAAAATTAATTTCTGACCTACAAATTTCACAGTTACATGTTCTCTGAGACATGCAACTTGCAGAAGGCATAGTTTGGATCTCCTTGCTAACATTCTCTGTGTGAAATAAGATCCTTTAAAGCCTTTTATATGTACAATCTGTCCGAGCTCATCTGTGTTTAATTGCACATGCAATTGCCTATTTCCCTTCCAGGATACTCAATTTAAAATATATATTGTGTAAATACTTATTGCTTAGAAGTGTGCTACAAACTGAAGAGCTTTTAGGATGAATTAGTTTTCCCTGTGAGTATTGAAACCAAAAAAACAAGGCTTTTAACTCAATTGCAGTAAATGAAAACACAAAATGGAATAATTTCAGTACACGGAAATTCTTCATGAAGTGTTATAAAAATAACATAACTACTGTGCAATCTATGCAAATAATTCATCTAGGGTCTTGTGTATAACTCTGAACAATTATGGTTCATAGGAGGGGACAAGATGGAGTCACCAGCCTCAAGCATAGCAAATTCTTTGCTGCTGTAAGAGTAAGCATGACCCTACAACTCTTCTGACAAACTGTTACCTAACAGCAAGCTCCTGCTCTTACCTCCAACTCCCCTTTGCAATCCTGGCTCTAAATACACAGGGCTTCAACACCCAGTTTCTCACACTATATTTGAATAAACTATTTAGAAGATGGAGTACAAGAACTTCAGCAATGTAGTTTTTAAGCTTTTCAAACACTGTGGGACACTTATAGCCTTATTTAAAACATAAGCCTATAGCACTGAAGTGCACACACAACTGACTGCAGAGACATTTCTCATACAACAGCTAACTTAGGAACTGATGGGGTAGCTCACTTGCTAAAGTATCTTTGTCAATGCAAATAAATGCCAATACTACATTTGGTTACTGTGAAAGCCTGCTTTTTCCTGTTTTCATTCAAAGATGTCATAGAGCCCAGTGGATGCTAATCATATTCTTTATGAATATTGGTGTAATCCAATGTCTGGTTTGAATAGGTGAATACCTTTGTACTGAAAGTTTTATGTGGGCTGCAGCTTTGCCCACGAGGGCACAGCCAAGGCTGCATCTTAAAACTAATCTGCTGAAATAATTCAGTTCCTCCTCACATGACAATGCAACACTATTTACTAAATCACTTTGTGTATTTTTAAACATTAAGTTCTCTGTCTTCCCACAGGTTTTTTTTTATCTCCTTTTGTTAACAGTACAACTTTGCTAAAGATGCCTGAACTAAGCAAAGAAAGCTGCTAAGTATAGCAGTTAAGATCTTACTGGAAAAATTTATTGTAAATACTTTGTCTGCTCTTGCCACAATCTCAGCATTTAAGCATTCATTCTGAAGCTCAAAAAAACCCCCAACACCAATCTGCCTATCTTAACCTCAATATCAAATTCCAGCTAACAAAGAGGTCTCAACACTGTAAAAGCAGAATCCTGATTCACAAAGCAGGAATCTTAAATGTAGGCAGCAGTATTAATAAAAGTTTACAGACAACTTCAAGATTAGCCAGTCTGGAAAAGATCTCTAAAGTCTAAAGGCCACAAGACAACAACACGTGGGGGATATTATAACAGTAATTGTGAAGCACAACCGCATAAATCTGACTTGAACACTGATGAAAAAAGATGTGGAACAACCACCTGTGGAGAAATAATGCCTTCTGTATAAATCATCTCATCTACGTCAATCCTTGGGCAAACAGAAGAAAGACAAATGGGACAGGAATAGCTCTCACTTGTTGATGCATGATATGCTTAGAGACAAAACACCTCTGTTACATTTGAACACAACACATATTGACAAACATCACTTCCAGACTGACATGTTTCTCCAACAAAGACCACTCTACAAAATAAAGCAAAGTGACATGGCAGATCAGCACAAGGCTGAGCCACAGCTCAAGGAATTTATTCTCAGCTCCACTGTTTGCTCAAGGTTAAACAGCAGAATTAGTCACCAAGGCCCTAGCCTGACAATACAAAGGCTTTGGCAGCAGCTCTAGCTTAAGGATTTCCTGGTCCCCCTCTCTCTTCCAGCC